TATTTTATTTGGATCAAGAAAGAAGCTTACAAGTGTCCAAAACTTTCTCATTGAATGTAATGGACATACAATACATTCTATGTTTAGGAGTTTTTGTTGATCAATTTTTGAGTGGAGAATTTATTATTGAGTCCATTGTACAAAAAAAATAACAACAAGTTGCGTTTTTTTTATACAGACAAGCTCGTTTTTTGGATATAAGAAATAAAATTCTATTATGTTCTGCTCTTGTACAATGTCATTTAGATTATGCCTGTGAAAATTTCCCTTTTTATGCCCCCGGATCGAAAGATCCCGGGGGTATATTGTTTTTGTCCTGTCTGTCTGTTTGTCCGTTTGTCTGTCTGTCTGTCTGTTGTCAACTTTAACCATGCCCATAACTTTTGATTGGTTGGAGCTATGACTTTCATATTTCACATGTGTATTCCTTGTGACAAGATCTTTCTTTGGGTACCACCATATTTGACTTTTTGACCTTGACCTTGGAATTTGACCCACTTGCAAAAATTTTATGAGACTTTAACCTTGGCCATAACTTTTGAACACTTGGAGCTTTGGCTTTCAAACTTCACAAATGTATTTCTTGTAAAAAGGCCTTTCTTTGGATACCAACATCTTTGACCCTTTGACCTTGACCTTGGAGTTTGACCTACTGTTGAAAAAACTTTAACCTTGGCCATAGCTTTTGAACAATTGGTGTTAGGGCCTTCATACTTCAGATATGCATTCCTTGTGACAAGAACTTCCTTTAGATACCAACACCTCTGACCCTTTGACCTTGAAGTTTGACCTACTTTTGAAAAACTTTATCCTTGGCCACAACTTTTGAACAGTTGGTGTTAGGGCTTTCATACTTCACATGTATATTCCTTGTGACAATACCTTCCTTTGGATACCAACAATTTTGGCATTGACCTTGACCTTGGAGTTTTGAGCTACTTTTAAAAAATTTTAATATTTGCCATAACATTTGAACGTTTGTTCTAGGGCTTTCACATTTCACGATCATGTGTATCACTTGTGACAAGAACTTCCCTTGGGCATCATTTGACCTTGACCTTGTCTTTTTACTTACTTTCAAAAAACTTTAACCTTCGCCATAACTTTTCAACGGTTTGTACTAGGCTTTCATATTTTTCAGGTATATTCCTCGAGACAAGACCTTTCTTTGGGTACCAACATTTTTGATCTCTTGACCTGGAGTTTGACTAGCAATTAAGAAACTTTAACCTTCGCCATATGCTGCCATACGGGGACACCGGTGTTTCACAAACACATCTTGTAAAATTTAGAAGACCGGGTACGACAAATCAGATTAAACCATGTGTATAACATCTATCATGGTTGTGCGCCATCTTATCTAAGTGAAAATTTTACTTTAAGATCAGCTGTGTCTTCACGCAAAACCAGAGCATCCTCCAATGAAGATTTTTTTATACCTCATGTGAAAGCATGTCAAGCAGATACTTTTTATTATAGTGGCATTAAAGACTGGAATTTTTTACCAGCTTCTATTAAATGTACTAAAGGAAAGAGTACTTTTAAGAAACAAGTTAAGAGTTTTATCTTACAATATGGCATTTTAGAACATGAAAGTGATATGTTTCAATACTGATTAATTTATAAAACTTATTTTATTATTATATTGATAGTATCAATGTTACATGTACGTAAATTAGATTTAATGTTTAAGCAACACAGTGCTAAAACTATAGTGCCAAAAAAATCGTTATAGTGCTTTAATGATGAAACATTGTATTGTTATCTTATTTAACGAGGTTCGCTCCTGAGCTTTTGAGCAGATTTTTATCTTAACCTATATTTCAAAAAATCTGCATAATGTTTTAATTCTTACAATAAATTTGGATTCTACAATGCCAGTTCAACTATATTCAGTTAAAACTCCATGATTAAATTCCATACCAAAAGCATTAAGTGAGGAACTATATTTTGTGGCGGAAGGTTTTTTAGAAGAAAATGATCATTTTTTCTCTTTATAAGTATTTAAAGTATGTTAAGTTTGGATTCCTATTTTTACATGCAGTCTGCACACAGAGTTATTTTGTGCAGTGAACTGTTTTATACTGGTCCTAAATTATATATTAAATAAACTGTCATGAATTCTATCATCATATTTGATAAATATAGCAAATATATTGTGAAAATCAAGGAAAAAATAGCCATAATTTAAGCTTAAAATTAGCACTTTTTTTTTTAGTAATATCAAAAAATTAACATCACAGACCCCCACTTTTAATTTTCTTTTCTGAATATAATATACTTTTAACCATTCTTCTTAAATTCAGTAAAATGTCATTACTTTCAAATGATGTTTTTGTTCGTTAAATTTTTAATGCCAGAAAAATGAATTTTTTGAGTGCAAAAAGGTCAAATAATTGAACATGCGGAGTAATTTGAACATTTTTTCGTTGTTGCAAATTTTAATGTGTCTATTCAAGATGAAATAAGACCGTGTCTGTTCCCATAATTTATTTGAATAAAAAATATATGAAGGAAAAACTTTAAAAATTGATTTATGTATAAGACGCTTTTATAATGCAAAAAAGTCAAACTAAATGCTCTGTAGCGCCAAAAGAAGCGCATTGACCCCATTTCTGTTTTGATTTTTAATTAAGCTATGTTTATAAATTCTAAAAATATACTTGATAAAAAAATCTCATTACTTTTGATGACAAGCTCTCGAGCTTTAATGGGTTATCCTGGTATCAACAAGCCACAGTGGATTTATATTTCTAAAAATGAGGTTTCCTGAATATTTATATAAAAATCTATTTAAAATTCATGGATTCCCAAATATTGTCTTTCGATTTGTATAGTTATGTATATTTGTTTTATGTATGATGGCATGATACCAAATAAAATGATGATGATGAATTATTTAGATATTTGATCTCATGACTTTGAAATTTGATGCAGTTTTGAGAAACTTTAATCTTTGCCATAACTTTTTTTTTAATTCAAAAATTTATATCTTTTTTGTATATGACGGACAGAAATTAAGACAGGACACTCAAACAACAAAGACAGTTACAATATGCCATAAATAACTTGCATCCCATCCACTAAAACACCGAAAGCGGGGAACCACAATTCTTTTCATTTGCTTGTTAAGCTACATGTGTCTATATTACAGAAATACTTTACTAATTTTGTAAAGACTTTTAATTACAGGATCCAACCTCCTTAACAGTAACAGATCATGTTCAGAAAAAGTAATGAAGGATGGGGGTTCAGTTAAAAATTAAATTTAAGAATTTAATAGAATATTTATTTTAATCTTTCATAACCTTGCGGAGAAAAAACAACATTAGTCCGATATATTGTCATCGTAGTTAATAGCCACGGGTTTTGAGTCAATTCTATATTTGCACAAACCTGTTTTGTGGATATGAAATGGACACAAGGCCCGTGGTTTGCGACGATAAGATATTGCAAATAATTCTTCTTAAATGTGATGTTTACGAATTTTTTGCTTCAAATTTTTATTTGGAGTACTTTAATGTGATAGAAAAAAATAATTCATAAAAAAAATTCAATATCTCTTGGGGTCTGGAGTTGGGAGAACAAGGGGGAGTATTGGCTAGATTTATATAGTTACGCCCATTCAGAATGTCTATAATAATTAATATACCATGTATATAGAACTCAATAAGAGAATAATTTCCGCTACTTTACTATGGCATGTCAAATGTTGCAATATTCGATCTTTTCCACTTGTATTGTATAATTTTCTATTTGTATTGTATAATTTTCCATTTGTATTGTAAAAGTTTCCATTTGTATTCTATAATTTTTCATTTGTATTCTATAATTTTTCATTTGCATTGTAAAATTTTTATTTGTATTCTATATTTTTCATTTGTATTCAATAATTCTTCATTTGTATTGTATAATTTTTTATTTGTATTGTATAATTTTTTTATTTGCATTATATAATCTTTATTTGTATTGTATAATTTTCAATTTATATTCTTTAATTTTTCCTTTGTATTGTATAATTTTTATTCGTATTGTATAATTTTCCATTTGTATTGTATAATTTTCCATTTGTATTGTATAATTTCTCATTCGTATTGTAAAATTATAGAATACAAAATGGAAATTTATAGAATACAAATGGAAAATTAATAATTTTCCATTTGTATTGTATAATTTTAAATTATACAATACAAATGGAAAATTATACAATATAAATGGAAAATTATAGAATACAAATAAAAATTATACAATACAAATGAAAAATTATACAACATAAATGAAAAATTATTGAATACAAATGGAAAATTATACAAATCAAATAAAAATTATACAATACAAATGAAAAAATATACAATACAAATGAAATATTATAGAATACAAATAAAAATTTTACAATTCAAATAAAAAATTATAGAATACAAATGGAAAATTAAAGAATACAAATAAACATTATACAATACAAATGGAAAATTATAGAATATAAATGGAGAATTATAGAATATAAATGGAAAATTATACAATACAAATGGAAAAGATCGAATATTGCAACGTTTGACATGCCATACTTTACTGGACTTTAGAGCAAGATAAAATTTAAGAGTTATCTTTCTTAAAACGCCCAATGTCTATAATAATTATACCAATGTATACAAGACTTACTACGTGGTGATGAAAATTTGCCTTTACAGATAAATAATAGTATTTTTGCCGCTGTTCATAAACTTATTGACGAAACATTTAGATGTTCTTAGTCGATATGTTAAATTTTATCTGTATCATTTGTATTATTTTTCTTTAAAATTTGCATGACATATTGTATTATATAATTAAGGAGAGGAACTAGTAAGTTATTTTAGAACTTGTTTCCAATTCTTTTGATTTAATCAATAAAATATGCTCAAAACAAAACAGACTTACCTAGTTATCTTTCTTAGATCCCTCCACTCGTCTTTGAGAGATAATTCATTATTTTATTGTTGAGAAATATTCAAGAAACAAAATACAAATGTATATGTTAATAAATTGATAAACATTTTTATACAACAAATATTCAAATGATATATGCACATTATGAACTAATTTTCATTTTCCTTTCATATTTTAATCATTCCAGAAATAAAACATTTTACTAAGAATGCTATGGAATGAAAAAAAAGTCGAAAAGAACCACCTCAAAGATACAATAACTCTGTACAGGTATGCACATTCAAATGTCATTCCCAATCTTCTGGGCTGTCATCTCTCTCTCTCCCTCTCTCTCTCTATTGCAAATACTTAGTGTGTACTTTAGATGTCGAAGTCAATGTACACATACATACATGCACAGTATATTTGACTGTGGTGGTAAACATGCTTGTAACTTACACGAGCGTCAACTTTATTGAAAGGGTATTCCGCGATTTATCATATCATACATGTACGTGGAAATGACATTTAAACACATTATTACATAACGTATAATGCTCCATTGTAATAATTGTATACATATAAGATAATAAGAATAGATTTTGACAGAACTCGAATAAATTTCCACCTGGCCTCGATGCCAACAACGATGGTAAATTCCTGACGGTGTTTCTTGAGATCCGTGTTCCGGAAACACTGAATGTGACTTGCTACTCTTTAAACGTCATCATATGGTCGATCCCTTTTAGGTGTGCTGGCGCAGCAGGAGAATGTGGCAGTCAATAGAGTGAGGGCAGCTCCTGCGGCCGTTAAATAAAATGCCCAATAGAACGTACAGGTACCTACAAAATAAAAACAAACATGTAATTGCGTCGTGTGATCTTTGCTGGTTGTACACCTTTAAAATTAATCGTATTGCATACCTTTTCCTGTTTTCTACAGAACAATCCCTCAAATAAAAAATAACTAAATAAGAAATACCCTTTCAAACATTGTAGTACTTATGGACCACCCAGGAGAGAAATCCCCCCCTCCCCTATGTCCTTTTTTGTCGAAAATTTGGCATCTCTTGGACATTTATAAGAAAGAATATGTTCAAATCGCTCACGTGCCATATAGCGCCGTAAAAAACATTTACTTAGGAAAGTGTCTTATCCTCCCCCCTCCCCCCTCCCGCATGAAATAGGTTTGTTTTACGTTTGGGGAAGCCATACTTCTCCCTTAGAAGTCTTGCTCTAGGGTGAAACTGCTTCTAGAGGGATATAGCTTACTCTAGAGCAATACTTCCGCCCCCACCCCGGAGGTCTCGTTCTAGAGGGAGCCCCCTCAAGTGAACTCTACTGACCACTTACTTGATGGGAAAAGGAGCTTGGTTTGTATGTCCTTAATTTATCATTCTCATCTTATCCCCGTATATCCTTATGTACATCGTTTATATACATGTATATGATACTTCTCAAAAATTAAATCGTTAATGAATTATAATTAACATATATAGACTTGATAGGTAGCAGTGTGAAATAAACTTAAATTTTTAAGGTGTTATTTTCACAGTGTGAAAATAACAACAGAACAAAACTCTCCATCTTCCCTTCAAGAAAAGTGATGAAGAGAAAATACTAGTACTCCCTTCAGATAGCGACTGTGGGTAAACCATACTGACACTAACTTAAATGTAAACAGCAAGAGTTCCCCCCAAATGTTTTTTTTTTCCTTGTAGATAGCGAATCGCAGGGACTTTTCTTCGGTGATATATTGTTCAATTTACTACCAAAACAAAAAAGTTAATTTATGTCTTTCTTATTTTTAAAGTAACCATGATAAAATTTTACAACTTCTCTATCAGCAACAGAAGTATCTCTTCTCGCGAGATCACACATTCCTACTGCTTCGCACTACTGAAACCTGTTCCACTCGTTAAAATAATTCCACATACCTATTCAACTTTAAATCTATCTCTCTCTCTCTCTCTCTCTCTCTCTCTCTCTCTCTCTCTCTCTCTCTCTCTCTTCTTTTTAAAAGTATATGTAGATTTAAAATTTATTTAGACCGTGCTCGAGGAATAAAGTTCATATATGATAAGCCACCACTCCCCGCCGGCCTTTCATATATTACATCCGTTACATCCGAATGATCTAAGTAAATAATGTGAAAATATATTCATCAAAACTGATAATTAGTCATCTAGTAAGTACAAAGGACAAGCAGCCGGATAAGGTTTTCTTGTCGTTACATGGTGTGGGGGCATATGTGACCGCTGAAATTCAGGAAAGACTTGTGTCGGAAGCGGTAATTACCTCCACGTATCTGGTGTATTTATCATGATTTCAGTCTATACCTGCAGAACTTTCAGGCAAATTAACCTATAAAAGAGGATGGTGGTTGCAAAATTACACCAATTTATGTTTTATTTTGAGAAACGCCGATTTAATAGGATTTAAGTGTTTGTTGCAGATAGAAATTAATGTTCTGCTTTTATTTCAATTTCTTGTTACACGGGGGTAAATCGCATGTATATCAGCCACATAAAGATGCCACTATTTTTAAATCATATAAAAATAGTAAACTTCCTGACAGAGACGGTTTGATTTTCCGAAAAACGCAGAATCCTTAAGGTGCATTGATACTCTGAAAAGAGAGACAACTCTAAATGGGATAAATGTCCAATTTTTTTCTTTGAAAATTGTCAACTTACAAGGCCATTTCTGTCAAATTTTGCCCCGCATGCAAGTATGCTTAAATTGTTTGTATTTTAATTGTAAAATAAATATCATTTGGAAAATCATAACCATTAAACAGTTAGAGCAAAATTTTATTGATAGTGAACGGAGGGGTCATGCACATTAATGACGCATTTTAGTTACCATCGAATAATGTTGAAATGATAATTAGTACATTACTGTAGAACAAAAAGGACGAGGGGGGGGGGGCAACCGGCCTTTTAATGAACATTTTCAACTGTAAACTGTTGTGCTTGGAAAAGGGGGGCAGCCTCCCCCCTACTAACTTACTATGACATATTTTTATTTACGAGATTCAAATCCCAAAAAATTATTTTCATAATATAACCATGATTATCTATGCCTCTGATGCAACTCACCAAACTTATAAGAACTGGACGTTTGTCCACAAGCCTGTTGTACCTCGGCGCTGGTCCAGCCATGAGGGTAAATAGCCAGACCTCCTCCAATCAGTAAACCTAGGTAAAAAAAAAACAAAAAAACATAAATTCTATACTATATCGAAACATGTATTGGTATATGTATTTCATATCTCATTTGTACTATCCTGAATTAGGATTTTAAGGATTCAAAATAACCCAATCTGATTCCCAGCCGATAGGAGAAAGAGGGGGGGGGGGTAATCGAACTGAAAATAACCAAAATAACGATATTATTGATTGACTTTTGATAGTACATCGCTGTCAACTTAACAATAAACTCATTGTCCATCAATCAACATATCGATCAACTATATTCAATGCCTTTAAGGAAAATGGCTCTTGTGTGGTTATGAAATATAAATCTTGTCTTCATACATGTCAGCAAGCTCCTTGTGTGTAAACTTTTTTTTCATTTTAAAAAGGTCTAGACTTCTGTTAAATCATTGATCCTATGTCAAGAAAGGAAGACTGAGTTAATGAATATCTACATCTAAAACCAAATATAAAGTAAAGTAATGATGAGAAAGAAAACACAGTTGCTAATAAGGGTAAATACTTAGGATCATGGTTCACTAATCTCACTGTGGAATTTACAACTTAACATCTACAATCTCTGAACCTGATGTTTTGACTTTTATATCAGCCAGAGGAAGGGCGAGAATGCGACGGACAAGATCCAGGAATCGAACCCGGGTCCTCTGAATCACTAGTTAGTTGCTCAACTGAGCCGCTATATCTGACCACCGGCGATCGGACCTACCTGACCGCCACATGCTTCCCTCCTTAAAGGTCTTCACCCCCGAGGACTCCGATTTAGATTCTGTTGCCCCATTGTAGGACTTTTAGTGCAAAGGTGGGCAACGGCATCAAATACAACGAGGAGAAAAAAAGCGAAGGACAGACTAGGATTTGTACCCGGGCACCCTAACTCTAGGCACTCAGCTTTCTGTCAACCGATGAAATTACCTACCTGATTACAACACTGTGTTGGAAAAACTAAATCTGCAGTATATTCATGATTTTCAGTTTCTATGGCTTCACTAAGGTCATCTTATACAGACCGGTAGGACCCGGGGGGGGGGGGCACGGAGGGTCGTACCTCCCTTCGCAATAATTTTACAAGTATTTTCTTTATTATATATAGAAAACAAAGCTAATTTATAGTTTGCCACATCAATAAAATTTGCCAGTATATATATAATAGATTAAAAAAACGTCTAACGATCGTAATGGGGTTTTTTTTTTCGCTTGTCAAGAATTTCTGATTTATTTTATACGTCCCCCGACCCCGAAATTACTTCTTACAGACCTGAATCATGGATAGGATTTTATATTAACCACCATGTGAAGATAATTGTGTATCACCATGTACATGTACATACGGTCGACAGTAAATAACAGAAACAAATCTCATCTGGACTCAGCCTCAGTTATAAAGCGGGCGCATGTAAAATGGAGATAAAAAATACTGAAGGATTCAACATTTTTTAACTTGTGTCGGCAATGTGTCCTTCTTTAAACTTCGTTGAATATTGGGGGGGGGGGGGGAGGGGGGGTTAAATACGCATGCATAACAAGTATTTAATTGTAATACGATACTACTGTTCCAAGAAATTAGTCAAAAAATACAAAGACAGCTATATATAAGTACCATGTGCAGCCATTTTAGGAGATAAGAAATCTAGATAGGAGATCGATATTAGATGTGAAGTTCCTCAGCCAATTAATATACCACCGATGATTACGAATTTGACGTGTCTAGGTCACCAATACCACTCGCCGGAGTGGTTTTATTGTCTAGGAGGGGCATTTGTTGGGTTTCCATTTGTTTATCATACTGTTTTATGACCTATGTTTACCTAAAAATAATATATAATACATGTAAAACAAGGACATCAGATGGGCAGTCAGTGATATTGCAGACACATCCACTCCTTGAGCAAATGTTTCTAACATTTTCTGTTCACATTTAATAATGTTCAATCCAGTGCCTCCATTATAAATTTAGTAAGCTTTTGAAATACTTCTACAGTGAATGAAGCATTGTTAAGAAACTATTAGACCGAAGGCAACTGTGACAAAGCCCCCTAGAATTCATAACATTGCTTCATAGGAGTACGGGACCTTATTGTATATAGGATATATACTTTGCGAGATTTTGACACAAGGTATATCTACATAGGTGACCTTTTCAGATATATAAATCTCTCAACAGAGGTACAACACACACGTAGGTGACAAGGGTCCCAGGTGTGGGTGATTTGTTTACACCAACAAACAATCCAGGTCAGTTTTACAGCCCCTCCATTTATCATGACATTACCTAAACCCTGTTTACTTGTGCTAATACACTGTAGATAACATGAATGAAATTCCTAACACACTGGTGCCAAAATCCTCTTTGATTTTGATAAATTCATCAGCATGGCGATACCCCCACCATGGAGCGTGAAGATTACACGCACGGATTTGGTTGTTTTTTGTTGCAGTTTAAGAATTCTAGATGATGTTTCCATCCTCTGACTCAGAGGATTTCCTCTCTCTCTATTCGTTCTCTAATTGTTGGCTGAAAATCTTCGGGAAAAAATAAATCGATAAAAAGAGTATGAATCAGAAATGCATGCATTCTGTTGAAAACTGTCTCTGTTGTATATGATGGTCTGACATATAAACACCAGCAAGCAGATGTGACATCAATTTCTTCTCAATAACTGAAATCATCTAAGCAAATAGCACGTTTTATGCTAGACGATTTCTTAAGTTAATTTATAAATCACTTTTTGAAAGCCCATCTCCAATCACTGAATGAGAATTCAAATTAATTAGAGTAAAAATAAATACATGGGTTTTTAATTTAAAAAAATGTTTTGTTTAGTAGCATGATTTTAAAGGGGACAGTTAACATAAGTACCCTTTATAAAATTAGCCATTACATTGATTGCAACATGACACTGATTGTCCTCATATACCGTCTGATACGTACCTGAACACATCTGTAAAATTCCTGCAATCCTTGCAATGAAAGGGGATATAATGCCTCTGATACAAATAGCCAAAATAGCAATTAGGGCTATAAGGACCGCCAGTCCACATCCGGTCCCCACGGCTATGGTTGCCACTTGCCACCACAGGCTTGGAATGTCACTGAAACTCGAATATCGTCCACACTGCTCTACCATTTCAAATTCATCATTAATGGTCCTCCGTGGGTAGTTGCAGCGTCTGAAAACGCCAAAATACACGGGTACACCATTAAGTTGTCCTTTCAACCAATATGGCATGTAAAACCCAAAACTGGCCCCCACAGCAGCCAGGAGGGACAGTAAAGCCCAGAAAACCCCGATTCCTGAGAGCCTTGTCATTGCTGGCTGTTGCCTCTGTGAGCGGTGTAATAGCTCTGTGTTCCAGGATCCGCTCTCTCCACTCGCCAAGGTCCGTATCATCAGTATAGCACTACAGAAATAAGGAATCCAGCTTCGCCTTCAATTTATGGAAGTTCATTCATGCTAGCGCTCTGTTTGCGCGCCGTTTTATTGTTAATATAGATCATTATCCAATTCTATCAGTATGTATATATATATATATATATCGGTATGCTAGTCGAGAAAGCACACCGAGAGGCAACAGTCCTACTAAATGTCGATTAACCGCACGATACCAACCGGGGATTTGCAACAAAAGATTTCATGTCAAAGTCTATGGCCCTTGTATGAATGTCAACCTTAACTCCGACAAATCTCTGTTTTCTTCCGTTTTACCACACGGTTGGCGAAAATGAATTAAATGAGTTGAATACTTTTTTTCATAATAACTAATCGATTGAGGTTTTTAAAAACAGACTGAATAAATAATTATTCTCTCAATCTCTCTTCTCAATCTTGTGAAGAGGTCCGCTCAGGTAGAACGTAAATAATGGCATTATCCGGGCACAAGTATAAATGTTCCGTAACAAATGAGAGAACACTTGAAAATATTTTACACCGTAAAAAAAAGTCCAGTCGGAGGAAATATTGTGTATTGCCCCGCAATATATCAAAGCATGTTTAAGATTCGTTCCGATTTAAAGACCACATTTGATAACTCTTGACCCGTATTGTACAAAATCTGATATCTCCGTCGATTGTATCTGACATGGAATAAGAATCGACACAACGGCATCCAGAAACAAAGGCGCGTTCTGATCCCACCGTCACGAATTAAGGCGTCTATCATATCTGTGTTGTATCAATGTCCGTAAACCCTTGAGACTATAATGCATAGAAAAGTGCAAATAGATACCAATACACGGCTTACTGAAAGCAATCTAAAATTTTACTTAAGCTTAGGCATTTTCAGGGAAACACGTTCTTGCCATTATGTCTAATGCATATTGCACACTTTTGTTAAACTTGAGGGGAATATACTTCAACTAAATTTAAACAAACCAGGCTTTTATTAATATTGCATGAAAAGAATCATGAGTCATATGTAAAATATCATTTTGAAAGAGAAGACTAGAATTGAACATAAAAACTTTTTTTGGAATGAAAAATAGAAAGAAATGTAATTTTTCAGATATTCTTTCCACAACCTTAGGGTAAAAATGCGTACTGGCCAAAAACAGAGATTCTGAACCCCTGCGCTGGGCCCCAGGGGAGGGTATTATAAGTTATAACATATTTAGAATGGATCTAAGAGGATATTGTATTCTATCAATTCTTAAAATTTACCACACTCTGGCTTTATTTTGTCTAATTTTATAGATCCTCAGATACGCGACAGGCATAGGGGTTTCATGAAAGCTTTTCCTCCCGGATTTTCATACCCTTCAAACTTTGGCCGGTGTATTAATAGGCAGGTAGTCACAATCTACTGAATCTAGGCATCATATGAAAGAGGAAACAGTAGAAGGTGACAAAAAAAAAAGGAAAGAGGAATGGGGGGAAAAGCACTGTAGTTCATTCAGTAGCACATTTCTTGATGCAAAGCATTTATTGATATAGTGGTTTGTATTTTTTTATGATTTTTTTTCGGACCACCCTTTTCAGATTAACATTTTTTTTTAAATCTCCGGTCGTCGAAAAGGATATGAGGTTATAATGTACAATAAAACACGCTTATAACGAAGTGCCGAGGATGGACGATTTTGCTTCGTTATAAGCGTTATTCGTTATATCCGTTAAGTTTACATTTTAAGGTCATGGGGAATGAAAATCCCTTTGCTGTAAGCGTCAATTCATTATATTAAGCATGTTCGCTATAAGCGTGTTTTACTGTATATCAAATACCATAATAATTCAGCAATTATGTAAATCAATAAATTTATACCTAGTGCTAAGTTTAATTTTTCCGAAATTGACACGAATTTAACTACATAAAAGATCAGAAAAATCTAAATATTTTTTTATTTCAATTATTCAAGGTAAATATTATTAAAAATACAAATTCTACAATAACTTCGTTTTTCTCTTATTCCCAAAGAAACCTATTTATAACAAATATAGCCCTCTTATTTATGAGGTCCATAGAAATATATCGAGTTCAGAGAAAATAGAATATCGCCCTCGCACTTCGTGCACCTTCAATCTCCTTTTGGAATCCTGTGAAGTCGATATATCTATGGATAATAACAACCATTAAATTATGTTTTACCCATGCTGGTAATATTTGTGTATAACGGTTGCATTTACAAAAAATTAAGGATAAGTATTTTTCTTTGAATTTTACTTGCAGGTCAACTGTTACTCCCTAAAATTAAAATTTAAACACTTTGTTTGTTTTGTTATATTAAGTGAAAAATAAAACATCAAATAATAAAGATAGAGAAAAAAACTTTTGTCAAGAATTTGTTCTATAAAATATAATTGCGTATTTATTTTTTTAATTTGTCATCTGTAAATAGTCTAAAAGAATTCCGCATCGACTATGTATTCTCTGAAGACATTAACGTCTGAATTCAGCATTCTCACTTGCCTTAAGCTATTTTTTCAAAACTTTTCCTTTTGGAAATACAGCTTTTTTAAACCAAGACCAGATACTAATCACTTGCTGGCTACCATTCAAAACGGGGGAAGGGGAAAATAAAGTTTGATGATCCGCTCACACTCATACATGAAATAATTTGTTTGTTCTTTTTTTTTTTTAATCTCAAAATGAATTTCTTGAAAACTGTAAATTTTCTCATTTTTTAAAAATAAAATAACCGCTTTTGCGGAGAGGAAAAAAATTACTTTGCATTCCCGTTTTCTTTCTGTAAGTTCTGCAAAACACACAGGTCACGTGCTACCCACAAAAGCCTTAATGACGTGCCCTCTATATATAGAATGAAAAAAAAACAAGCTTCGTACAGACGTAGATCAATCCAATCGCAACCTCTCAGACATTGCCATGACCGTAATGAATAAGTTGCCAAACGCGGGAAAATTAAAGCGATAAACAAAACAGCGAGAATTTGGAAGGCGAATAGAAATCGATATAGCAGGTAAGAAGTAAATAATTTATCACTTCCCACATCCTCCGAAATATCTGTCTGATGACAATCATAGTTGTCATACCTGTTATTCTCTTTAGAGAAGTGGACAGGTAAGCGAAAGCCTGTCCACTTCTCTAAAGAGAATGTACCATACCTGTATGTGATGTCATGATGTTTGAATAACACAAAATGACAATTTTTCGTAGTTTTACCAGCGCAATGCCAACTTCATATAAGCAATACTGTAGTTTTTTTTCCTTTAATTTAGAACAAATTAGGAATAATTAATTAAAAACAGATTTGCTTAATATACAAACAAAACACAAATCTTGCTTACCCCCGTTCACATGTGCTAGGTTGAAAAATTTGCATAATATATGTAAAATTTGCTAAATATGTGTAAATAGCCGGGTGTCAATGGGGCTTAAGTATAACCATGATGGAAACATTGGACAAAGTTAGTTGTGACAGTTTGATTTGGCTTATAGATATTATTTTTTTTATTTACACTTTCCATCAAAATTTGTTTTTATGCTGTTTTGAATTTATTACAATGTTTTTAATTACTTGTCCTTGTAAATAATTTTCTTGGTTTTCAGATTCACGAGCAAAAATAAAACAGCAACTGAGTTTTATGTAATTTGGTATCTGTATAATTATCATGATTTGTACATAATTATCTTTTTGGTTTATATAGCTCTACCAAAATAAGATATGAAGGATCTGGAGTATCGAGTACCCTCACCTCACTACCTCAGACTGACACTGGAAGACAGAGCTCTCTGTCTGAACAATTTTGACGACCCTATCCTCACATCCACCAGACTCTGTGTCCAACCAAGCCTGTCTGGTATGTAAATACATATTATTTTTATTGTATACAGTACATTGTTAATTTATGACTTTATTTTTCAGTGAAATATCTTCTTATCCTTGGTTTTCTTTCTAAGTTAAAAAAAGTAGCAGTATAAAACTAAAAAAAACATATTATGGTGTTTCCTTTAAATTTTATGTGATCATTATAGGCAAGGGCAAATTTCTTTTGTACTGTTGCTTGCAATTTTATGCCCATGTAATAGGAGATTCGGTCCAACATTTTTTTACCTCATGACCTTGACTTTGGAGTTTGATATACTTTTGAAAAACTTGAACCTTGGCCATAACTTCTAAATGGTTAATGCTAGCAGCTAGGGCTTTCATATTTAATATCTTTATTCCTTGTGACAAGACCTCTCTTTAGGTACCAACATTTTTTATGTCATGACCTTGACATTGGAGTTTGAACTACTTTTGAAAGCCTTCAACCTTGGCTATGAGCTGCCACACAGGGGCATGAGTGTTTTACAAACACATCTTGTTTCCTCTCTTGTAATTCTGAATCTATTTCAGCTTATCTACTCACTATAATAATTTTACCTTTTGTATATACATGTAGCTGGTATTTGTAGGCTTTGCCTGTTACCTAATCCTGTTCATTTCTATGAATATAATATAAGGACGAATTTAAAACTGGACTGATTAGATCATCAGACCAAGGTGGTTATTTAACTCAGCATAACAAGAAAATCAAATCACTCACTTCTTGTTCTTCTGGTAGATGAATTAATCACAGCTGAACTTCATGAAGCCAAATCTGCAATGGAAAGGAAATCTAATGATATGCAGTATAGAGGAAATTCTGGCTTAACCATTCTTTCAGGGGAGGAAACCAGCACTTCAGAGGAGGAAGATGAGGAGGAAAAAGAGTTCCACATAGATTCCCCTGTAATAGGAGGGGCACATGGACCAGTCATCACCAAATGGTAGATAACACAGGGACACTGAAATTAAACAGCTATATATAATGCATTGATTTGTACATTTATTTTCTTTTATGCTTTCAATGCTATTGGGTAGGGGTGAGGATTGAGGGGTATCAAGTATATTCAGTTTGGGTACTATTTTATGATTTGTTCAGGTTAGAAAGATATTTAGGCCAACTTCAATTCTTGGATGTGACATATTAAAAGCTTTAATCTTTTGAATCAAATAAAATGTATTAAATTGTTTTAAAAAATAAATGTTGATTTTATAGGTTACAACGCCATTTTTTGATTCAACCAAACAACACCTTGAGTCGAGGTGAGATATATCGGGCATATATCGAACACTGTCAAAGGAACAACTTAACTCACTGTAATCCGGCCACATTTGGTAAGGTCCTGCGATCAGTGTTCCCCGACATCAAAACAAGAAGGATAGGGACAAGAGGAAACTCCAGGTAAGTTCTACAGATACACTGGATAGTCAGAGTTAGTATAGATGGGTTACTCATGGTTAGTTCTACAGATACACTGGATAGTCAGCATAAGTATAGACTGGTAGTGCCTAGTAAGTTCTAGATAAACTGGATAGTCAGAGTTAGTAAAGACTGGTAACTCCTGGTAAGTTCTAGATACACTGGATAGTCAGAGTAAGTAAAGACTAGTAACTCCTTGTAAGTTCTAGATACACTGGATAGTCAGAGTAAGTATAGACTGGTGACTCCTTGTAAGTTCTAGATAAACTGGATAGTCAGAGTAAGTAAAGACTAGTAACTCCTTGTAAGTTCTAGATACACTGGATAGTCAGAGTAAGTATAGACTGGTGACTCCTTGTAAGTTCTATAGATAAACTGGATAGTCAGAGTAAGTAAAGACTAGTAACTCCTTGTAAGTTCTAGATACACTGGATAGTCAGAGTAAGTATAGACTGGTGACTCCTTGTAAGTTCTATAGATAAACTGGATAGTCAGAGTAAGTAAAGACTAGTAACTCCTTGTAAGTTCTAGATACACTGGATAGTCAGAGTAAGTAAAGACTGTCAATTCCTTGTATATGTAAGTTCTAAGGAAACACTGGATAGTCAGAGTAAGTAAAGACTGGTAACTCCTGGTAAGTTCTAGATACACTGGATAGTCAGAGTAAGTAAAGACTGGTAACTCCTGGTAAGTTCTAACTAAAGGAAACACTGGATAGTCAAAGTAAGTATAGACTGGTAAGTTCTACAGATACACTGGATAGTCAGAGTATGCAAAGAAATCAGACTGGATAGTCAGAGAAAGTATACACTGAATAGAGTAAGTTTTGAATGGTAACTCCTCCCCAGAAACAAAATTTGCTTATGACCTTAGAGGTATTCCATGACTGATCCTTGGTCTTTTAGGGAAGTTCATAGCCACTAGCAGAATAAGGAAATTTCTTGTCTGGTCCATAGCTTTCTAATGGTCATTGGAGAATTTGGAAGTTCATACTTCACACAAAGATTACTTCTGACATAATTATGTGCCATTTCCCTGACCCTAAGACATTTGGTAAAGTTCAAGGTATCATTCAGAAAAATGTCCTATCCTTGAATATCTTTTAGAAACATTGAAAGCCCATAATTGACACGGTTGCTTATGACCTTAGGACTTGTCATATGACCTAAGATCATTTGGACAAGGTCAAGTTCAGTTGCTTCAAATCCTAAAATGGGTCCTTGATTCAAATCCTCTTCATTTTTAGTTGCCAAGCAAAGACATAATCTCTTTCAAAAAATTCTAAATAGGACTGTATTTTCCATTTTTTGTGAGGGATTCAATACATATATTGAATAGATATTTTTATGCCCCCGTATCGAAGATTCGGGGGAATATAGTTTTTGCCCTGTCCGTCTGTCTGTTGGTTTGTCTGTTTGTCCGCAAAAACTTTAACATTGCCCATAACTTTTGATTGGTTGGAGCTATGGCTTTCAAATTTCACATGTGTATTTCTTGTGCCAAGACCTTTCTTTGGGTACCATCATATTAGACCTTGACCTTGGAGTTTGACCCAGTTTTACAAATTTTACCCAACTTTAACCTTGGCCATAACTTTTGAATAATTGGTGCTAGGACTTTCATACTTCACATGTGTAATCTATGTGACAAGACCTTCCTTTGGATACCAACAACTTTGACCCTTTGACCTTGACCTACGAGTTTGACCTACTTTTGAAAAACTTTAACCTTGGCCATAACTTTTGAACGGTTGGTGCTAGGGCCTTCATACTTCACATGTGTAATCCTTGTGACAATACCTTCCTTTGAATATTAACAACTTTGACCCTTTGACCTTGACCTTGGAGTTTTACCTACTTTTGGAAAACTTTAACCTTGGCCATATCTTTTGAACGGTTGGTGCTAGGGCTTTCATATTTCACTTGTGTATTTCTTATGAGAAGGCCTTTCCTTGAGCACCATTAATTTTGACCATTTGACCTTGACCTTGATGTTTGACTTACTTTCGAAAAATTTTAACCTTTTCCATGTCTTGTCAATGGTTGCTGCTAGGGCTTTCATATTGCACAGGTATTTTTTCTCGGGACAGTACCTTACTTTGGATGCCAACATATTTGATTTGCATTTGAGAAAGCTTAACCTTCGCTATAAGTTGCCATAGAGGGGCATCAGTGTTTCACAAACACATCTTGTTTATATACTTTCAGATACCATTATTGTGGCATAGGCATTAAACTTAAGACAGTGCGGTAAGATCACTGAATAAGAACAGAAGGATTATGTGACTTTTTTTTTTTATAATTGTGAATTAAAACATGAATTCATTTTTACTGAAATGTTCATTACCTCTGCCATTAAAAATGGATTTTCACCTATGTTTATTCTTCTCTCTGTCTGTATACAGATTATTAAGTTAATTTCTACATTTACAGTGAAACGTGCTTATAGCGATCACGCTTATTATGAATTGACACTAATACGAAGTGATTTTCATTCCCTTTGACTTTAAAATATATTGAAAACTTAACGGATATAACGAATTATGCTTATAACGAAGGAAATTTTTTGTCCCTGGCACTTCATTGTAAACATGTTTTACTGTATATGGTAATTATCAATTACAGGGACAATGAAATTGAAGAAGATATTACTTCAGTAAGTTTTTTAATTATTTTTAATATTAAAACAGAATGAAATATTTTTTTGATTTCACCTTAAAGTGTATATTGTGTGAATTCTGTTGATCTATTAATTGAAGATAAGTGAAACATCAAACATTGTGGTGGAACATTCTCAAGAGTTATTGCCCTTGCTACACAGTTTCCCTACCTGTAAAGACCTTGGACTGCCAGAAACGGAGAATCAAGTGGCAAGTAGCGCATATGTACAAATTCATGGATATTTTTTTTCATATTATGGAAAATAACATTCCCCTTTGAATTGATAAAGAAAAGTACCTCCAAATTGCTACAAGAGAGATAACCCATTTAATTCCATGGATAAGTGTAATTGGATGTTTTTCTTTTACAGGTGGAGGAGTTTCTTGATTTGACATACAGATGGCATGCAGTGAGAATTCTTGACTGTATTCTTAGAGCTGAGTTTTATCAGGTAAAACTGTACAATATTGTAAAGTATTGTATTGTAAAAGTGTGCTTTGTCTACTGTTGATTCTCAACTCTGTCAAATCTTAAAAAATACAAGGATACATATTACAAATAATCTTGTTTTGTAGCAGAAATGTTACACAATTCTATAAATTTCTCATTATGGATAAATGTGGTATAATTTTTTTTTTCAGGTAGCTGCAGTGATGTTATAATTTGTTCTTTACTTTTATCAAAGAGGTGTTTTTTTCTTTCTTAATTAAAATGTGATTTTCAGGTAAGTAGAATGCAATAAATTTTCGAGAGTTAAAAAAATGCTGTTTGTTTGTAGATCAAGGATATAATATGTGAATTCTGGAGATCAGTGCCCATCTCAACACTAAGTGCTTTGTCAGTGCCTCTGGTGGTTGCAGCAATAGAAAGATGTGATCAAATCCTCTACAGAACCATCAACGGCATTCTCTTACCTCAAATCTTAACTCTGCTTCCAACAGGGTAAGTTAAAAAGAACAATTCTTAGACATCCACTGGATGAGGTTTTTGTTGAAATACCATGTAAATTTGATGTGGAGGTGTCAGTTGCATTTCAAGAAAAAGATAGGTCTCTTGGAACAAGAAACAACTACATGTATATTCCTTGTATACTCTATGTGCCCATTTTTTAAAATTGTGTTTTTGAGTAGAGAACTTGATAGATCCAGTCCTTTGTTGATTAGGACTCTGTTGATGTTATTAGAGAATGTAAGCAGACAAATGTCCTTCACAATTGCATATAACTGTTATTTTTGTCTTTGCAGACTTATGCTGACATTGAAGAACTTTGTAAAAAATCTCCTGTACTGGCATCAACATGGATTGGACAGCATTCCTCCAGTCATAAAATATGCTAAAATCAGAGGTGAAAATTCAATGCTTATGGAAGAATTATCAAAGTTGATGAATTCAATTTCAAACTTCAGAATGAAGCATGCGAATGCCATCATTTTTACTTTCTTCTCATAGCAAAATGCATAAATATGACTAATAAATATGATTTTTTTTTTAGCTTGTCATCAATTCAAGACAAGTTTTATGAGACAGATTCAGATAAACCACATGAGCATCACTGCTAACATAGTAGTGATGAGTCCTAACATAGCTAGGACAATCCAGTGGGGCTGGCGCCTGTTACAACAATCTCTCAGAAACAACCCCTTACTCTGCTCCCAAGATTCTGCAGGCCAAGAATTACTTGCTCTGTGTCAGTACTTAAGGGAAAAAAATTTAATTTGGGAATTTTTGAAAAATTTTGCATAATTTTCAATTGCAAAATTGTTTAATGAAAAGTGATACATGTATTTACATAGTTTTAGAAAAGGAATCAATTTTTATCTTTAAAAATGGATTGATATTAAGGAGTATTCTGTTTATTTTTGGTCAAAATTAGCAGTGTAAAATTAATGAGTATATATATTTGTTAGTCTTGCAGGAATATGGCAGTCTTTGGGACAGTTCTTGCTCACTCTCTCAGCATTTGAATTGGGTGGAGAGTGTTGTCTTGAAAAGCATGGAAAAGGTACTGCAGATTGTATTGATGTTTTCTGAACAGAAAGAGGGTTTAAATTCTGTATAAGTCCTCCTGTATAGATCTTATATTTTGTTTTTGAGGTTGAAAATGCAGTGATATTATATAAAATATGCAAGAAACTCACAGAAAATCAATTTCCTGAATGAGATGATTTGCAGAAATATGAAAAAATTTAAGCCTTTAAAAAAAGAAATTGTTGCAATAATCACCATGATTGATCATACAAAGAGATTACGGTACATGTTTTGTCATAAATAAACAGTCTGACCTTGTTATTTCAAACTTGATGGAACCTGGAAAAAACTTCAAGATATCTGAGGATTTGTGATATCAAGGGTAAAATGGTTGGGACTTCCATATCACTTTGGCATATCCATGGTATATGAGATACAGAATTTCAATGGTACTTGTAATAATTACTGTAAACATATTATATTTGGCTGTGTATTCTTTTTAGCACTTTTGGCAAAAAGCAACGTCCCCTAATTTAAGTACAACGCTATATGTCTCCCACATATACACATAAATAAGAACATTAAGAAATGTGCTAAATCAAATCCACGCTAACTTGCTCAAAAATCAATATCCGCCAAATATTGTACACACTATAAAATACAATACATTTACAGTATTTTTTTTAATTACTGTATGAATTAATAGATAATTTATTTATATGTGTATATTCAGATAACACGCCTTTCACAGAATAAACCCAGACTAAGGGGAGAACTGGTCCGGCAGTTAGTGCTGGAGTGGGCTTTCATCTGCACCCAGATTCTCAAAATACTGACATTTATCAGCCCTTCTGCTTTAGGTAAGGAATAGGCAGAATATTTCAGATAAATGGAGAATTTTCGTACACATTAAGATCGAACATATAAAATATTTTTTGTAGGACCACTACAGTTGCTGGAAATGTTATATAGAGATTATATGCTTTTTCTGCTGGAAAGATGGGATGTCCATTTGTTGAAATGACAGCTAGTCTAGGTGTTATTGTAAAAATATTCATGTACTTTATAATTATGTTTAGAAAGAACTCCTTTATTTTTGTAGTGAATTTATACCAAATGAATCCGCAATATCTTCTGTTTAATTATTTAACTTTTTAAGAATAAATACATGAATATGTTTTGTTGTTTTTGTACAATTAAATACAGATATAATGTTAAACCAGTAAGAATATGAAAGTCTCATACTCCGTAGAAGTAACAATTGGAGCACTATGCTCCCTTGGACTATATTCTATGGTGATCTATTTTTGGATCAGGATACACCTTCCCCTCAAGATGCAATGTGACAAGGTTTAATGATTTCAGGTATCATAATGTGCAATTTATGATATGAATGATTAGACAATTTCCAAAATGAGGTCATAGCAACCTTCCTTTGATAAGTGATACAACTTTTCTCCAAGATGCAGCGTCAACTGAAAAGGTAGTTAAATCTGATTAAACTCAGATCCTTCATCTTCTCCTTCTTCTTGCCAAGTAGCAACAATAAACAAGAGGTCCATGGGCCACAACACTCACCCGAGTTATCTAAGCCCATTTGTTCTTCAGAAGATTTTAAAAAGATTTTTTATATTCCAATGAAAAATTATAACTCCTTATAATGGCCCTGCTCTAATTCTAAGGGTCACTGAATCCAAAAACAAGGGGATGATTCAATAACAATATGACTAACATGGTCTTTCAGTTCTGGAGAAGAAAATTCTTTTCTTGTATACATGTACATACATTATTTAAAATATGATCCCTATTTTATCCAACTCTTATCCTGGGTCCATATTTTGGAGAGAGGAAATAAATTTACACAACTTGGGATTGTTTACAAATGAGTATTTCTTAAGAAGATTTTTTTTTTAATTTTTGTCTAACATTGTTCCATTTAAAACTTTGATCCCCTATTGTGGCCCAGCCCTACCCCTGGGGGCCATGATATGACCAATTTAGATTCTACATTATATTAGGAAGAAGCTTCCACATAAGTTTCAACTTTTCAAGTCCAGAGGTTCTTGAAGATTTTCAAGAATTTTTTCCTATAATTTCAAAGTAAAACTTTGATCCTCTATTGTGGCCCTACCCTATACCCCGTCAGACCATGATTTGAACAATTTAGTATGTAAAATACCTCAGTAAGTTTTCACACAAGTTTCATCTCTTCTGGTCCAGTGGTTCTTGGGATTTAAAGATTTTTTTCCCATGTAAAACCTTGATCCCTTGGTGTCTTCCATCTATTCCCACTATTTAAAAATCAATTCCACCTATTCCTACTTGCAAATAACAATAGACATTTGTTTTATTGCAGTTAGTTGAATTTAAGGATATCCGATCCTCAGCCAGGAAGGATAACTCTTTAATTTATTATTTAATTCAAAAAGTCTCAAAATGAAGCTTAAATATGAAATCTTTTTATGGAACGATCTTTATCTTATGCATCTTGATGTGATTCAAGGTTCTTTGAAGTTTAAGAAACAGTCTTTTAAAACGTTGATATTTTTACCCTATAAAGGTATGTCAAAAATACAGATTTAAAGAAATCGACTTTTCCTTTAATTTAGCCTTAGATACCAATGCTAATTAGCATGATATGAAATTATGAATGATTTATGGTGTTTTGCAATGATAGGAAATATACTTTATAAACTATGCATTATAAAATAATTGAAGTACACAGAAGAAACTAAAGTACTGTATAAGTATAAAATCATGCAATTTTCTTTAAATGCATGGATACCTATAGTTTTTTTTTATCCTAAAATGTTTTTGTTGACTAAATTCCAATTAGAAAATACATAGTAAGTGTCTTCATTCGCATTTCCTAAAAAATTATTTGAGGTTTACTAATTTTTCCTATATAAGATGATAAACTTTAATGATGAAGTTTGAACAATTACCGTGGGTTAATTCAATTTACTTTGAGAATTCAGAGACATTTTTGTGAGCATTTTCAATTATTCAATGCCTGATTTTCACAACCTGAGGATCAGACTACCTTAATCTTTACTTTAGGTAGGTAGATTTACTTGTATTTTGTACACTTATAGACAGAAAATGAATTAAATATAGATTTCAGAAAAAAAAATGATTTTTGTACACTTATAGACAGAAAATGAATTAAATATAGATTTCAGGGGAAAAAAAATTATTTTTGTACACTTATAGACAGAAAATGAATTAGATATAGATTTCAGAAAAAATGATTTAATTCACTTATAAATTAAATAGATTTAAGTGAAGAATATGATTTTATTCATTTAACTTTGTACACTTTAAAATAGAAATTAGATAGAACAAAATAGACCAAAAAAATATTTAATTCACTTGAATTTTTGTTTTTTGAATATGTAAATTTTAAAACAAAAAATAAATTAAATAGATTCATTTGTTCAAATATTAATGAAAATCAAATTTTGAATGAAAATACAGCCAATTTGCCTGTCCTCCATCCCAGCAGTGCTGTTTATACAGGAATTATATGCTTATACAGTTAATTATTTGTTTACACAAGTACTCCACCTATTCCCACATAAAATTTGGTGTGTTCCCGTTTTGCACACATTTGATAATTAGGTATAGAACAAAAGGTGTGAAATATGTTTTGATAGCAATTATAGTCTGATCTTCTTCTGAGATTTACCTGGAATTACCCGTATTTCACCAATGCATCATAATATATATTTAAAAGAATAAAGTTTGAAAATTTAACTTGTGCAATCTAACGAAAGTTGATAAATCAGACAACTATCGTTATCGCAGTCCCTACCCCTTTTTTTAATTTCATGAAGATAATATGAATGAATTAATGGATTAAATCTTAATGAAAAAAATTAACTTGCCCAGTTAGTATCATATTATGAATGTACATTGTAAATATAGTTTTGATTAGTATTTACGATATTTTTTTATGTTTTGAAATAGTTTTTTTTTTTTTTTTTTTTTTGCTTATTATGAAATTACAGAAATAAATCAAAATAGAAAAAAAAAATAATGCAAAATTAATCATTTTTCTTCGTATTCTTGTCATAGATTTCTTTTTCTCCAAATTCACAACTATGATATAGACTATATCAATTAAGTAATTATCTTACCTGGACAAATTCCCGTTTTGCACACATTTTTTCAGAAATTCAAATGTGTGCAAAACGGGAACATCCTACCTGATTGTTTAAAAGTGGGAATAGGTGGAATAAACCGATCCCTTATTGTGACCCAACCTATCCCCCAGGGCCATGATTTGAACAATTTAGAATCTACAGTATATTAGAAGTTTCAACTCTTCAGGCCCAGTGGTTCTGGAGGATTTTAAAAAAAAATCCTTCTTACTCCAATGAAAAATTTTGAGGGGGCATGATTGGAACAATTTAGAATCTACATTAGGAAGTTTTTAAACAAGTATCAATTTTTCTGGTTCAATGCTGCTTGAAAAGATTTCAAGAGATTTTTTCCTATATATTTCAATATAAAACTTTGGTACCCTATTGATGCCTAACCTTATCCCCCCCCCCCCCCCCCCCTCCACAAAGCCATGATTAGAATAATTTAGAATTTGTACTACCTTAGAAAGTTTCATTTGTTTCATCTCCTCTGTCCTGGCGGTTCTTGAAAATTACATATTTTTATAAGCCCACCTTATTTTTTAATTATCTTGATTCCCCCCTCCCCCTTGGAATGAAGATTTGAATAATTTAGAATCCCCTTTACCCAGAGATTTTTTGTGTCAACTTTGGTTAAAATTGGCCCAGTGGTTCTTGAGAAGTTAAAAATGTGAAAAGTTTACAGACAGATGCCAAACAATGAGTGATCAGAAAAACTCACAAACTTTCAGCTCAGGTGAGCTAAAAACAAGAAATAGAGGATCCAATTTTTATTCAGGTTGCTGAAAAGGTTTGATGATACTAGGTCTTGTACTGTGAACTATGATCCAGACGCAATTACAGTATGTAGAGCCACAGAATTCAAAATTGAGGCCACAATGACCTACATGTACTTTTTGTGCAAGACAAATCTTCCCAAGATGCATCAGCCAGCAAAGTTTGATAATTTTTAATCTTGCATAATGCAAGATACGGCTGTATTAAATCAGCATAATGCCAAAAATTGAGCTACTGTACAGTGACCCACTTTTGAAGTTGCAACACACCTTCCCCAATGGATATATCAACTGGCATTTTCAGAGAGCTTGGCATCACTACAATTTTTTTTTAAATAATGCTGCAATACTTATGATGAACAGAAAAAAAAACTTGTAAACCCGAAATATAGCAAACATTTTTGTTGAACCTGCAATTTATGAATTCTGTCAAGTTGGGCTCAAATTTTGGTCCAGTAATGGGATGAGAATCATTCAATCATTAATTATCAACTACTTCAACATCATAACTTTTAAATACAAAATTATACCCTATAATATGCTTTTTCTAAAATCTAAAATAGGATGTTGTATTTCTTATGTGTATCAATGTACGAGTTTTGATAGAAATATTTTGAAAATCTCATTTGAAACTGAGCTTACTAGAAAATGAGGAATAGCAAAATTAAAATCATTCATTGGTAAGGTCAAGGTCAGAAAATTATGATACGGTTAAATAGCTCTCACCAATATGAATTTTTGGTAAGTATCTTGAACAAACTCTTTGAAACTTAGCTAAATATGTGATGAACAGAAGGATGGAAGGTCAGAAGACAGACATAAAAAACACTATGTCATTATGCCCCAGCCATATTCATGACAAGCATAAAAATTACCATATCTCAAAGACAAAAAACAATATTCCTTGTTTTTCCCATTTAATTTTCATCCATACCATTTTTTGCACAATAAACAACACAATGAAATAAACTAGGAATAATTATTAATGACAGTAGAGATAAATATGGGTATAAAGAATTTTTTGGACAATCATTTTGTACATATATATCTAATTCTCATCACTGGCATCGTTCTACAGTAAGCAAGAAAGCAAACATTTCTAGCTTTATCGATCAGTAAAAGCAGCTTTTAAGAAAGTTCTAAACACCAATGAAAAATGTTCTGTGGATTTTGTGAAAGTGGTTCAGTTTCAAAATAAGGTAACTGCCATGTTTCCACGGGTGAACTTTATGTTTTCAGACAATGAAGTATTAGTGAATAGAAATCACTGCTGTTTACTTATATTGAGAAATACATGCAAATAATGTATTCAGTTACTCAATTTTGATGTAATAACGTTATGTACTGAGTCTTATATCAAAGGGGAGATCACTCTGATAAAAACTGCAATGGAATTGGAACTCTTCAGCATGTAGTGTTTACAGCTTCCTTAAAACACAAATTTTCAATGTTTAGCCTTTGTAGCAAGAAAATAGAAATTATCAATAGGTCAGCACAATTGTAGATAAGTAATTACATGTACAAGTATAGCCAATTAATTACATAACATTTCCAACACTTTTTGTTTTGTCTATAGTTTCCAGCTTCTTGCATAATGTGCAATCAATGGCATCAATATATTCAGTAAAATCAAAGTTCAACAGACTAAGGTAACAAAGATAAAACATAGGTACAAGTCAATCTACACAAGTTTTGTTTGTAATGCATACACAAACACATACATCATCAGTACATTACTGCTATTTTTATAACAAACTACAATTTTTCTTTTCACAATGAAATATGCTTTTTCTTGTTATCTTTTGGAGAGTTGCACTTCTTCATTATAATATCAGCAACTAATCTTTTCAAATTATGTTGTACAATATTTTGACAATGAATTATGTTTTAGATTTTGACAATGTTTGGTAGCACTAAAAATCATGAACAGAGACTCTTACTGGAAAGTAGAGGTCGAGTATTTATATGGCATAGAAGAGACAGAATCCATCAGTAATGGAAAAAATACTGTTTCTAGAACTATATTCTGAACAAGAATATTACACAGTATTCAAATTTAGTTATGTTCAAAAATCATGCCCACTATATCATATTGCACTTTTTTCATTTTTTTTTTTTTTTTGATTTGAACTATGCTACAGGAACATAAAATGTTATACAAATTCCAACTTATATTTTATAATTCCATAAATATACTAATATACATGTACACCCCAAAAAAGTTATAAAATAATCTTTCATTTCTAAAGAAATGCAATTTACTACAATACACTGCATTGTAATAAATGCAATCCATTTCAAATACACACAGTTGCATTGCTTTGAAAGAGTTATCTTTCTTTTCCTGAATTTATCAAAATCAAAATTGCAAAAATTTAGAGAACATTTGATACTGGCATATTTCCACAATTTCATTCACTGAAAGAATATATCACACATCCAAAGATCATTCACATAATAATTATGTCATGATTAATTACATACAAAATAACAGACAGATCTTATCATTTATTCAGCCACAGAAGTTCACAGTAGTATTGCTTACATTTAAGCTCAGTTCATAGCTTGTGATGTTCAGGAATGTATGAACTCGATATTATTAGTTGTAAAATGCCCTTTGATTTGACCCTGTATCTTCTATGTTTACTGAAATCCGTACACCTCCACCACTTTACAGGTGAAATCCTCATGAGAACACAGAGGGGGGTTATCAAAAGTATCACAGTGCTCTGTCCGACAGTGAAGGAGATTCTCGTCCAACTGAATAGCTTCACCATTGCTGTTAAAATGGAAATCAGTGTAAAAAAAAATCCTAAATGTCAACCTTTAACATAAATATCTACCCTTTACAATTCAGAATTGGTAAAATTTCAAAAAAAATTTAAATGTTGACCTTTAACATAAATTTCTACCCTTTATAATTCAGAATTGGTAAAATATCAAGGAGGTACTTTGAGTAACCTCATTAAGAATTTAAAAATCTCCAGCTTACCCTCCTCCCACAGTGAGGATTTTGCTGTCTCCCGCTAGGAACATGTTGGCGGTGCTGGGAATATTTTCCTCATGAAGCCCCACCCATTCGTACTTCTTTTTCTCTGGGTATAGCGTAAACACAAAGGTCTCTCCCGTACCAAAATAATACACATTCTTATTGCTCTTCTTCCTCTCCCTCCAGTACATTGAACAAAAGGCTCCAAACACCTGACAAACATAACCCATTCAAAATGAACTTCATAAACATTTTTTTAAATGCGTTCTACAGTTAGCTTACTGCAGATTACCAAATTTTTGTGACTATTTATTTTCACAAGATAGGTAACTGGTATTTATAAGTGGAATAAAATTTCCACAAATTCTGATTACTGCTCTGTATAATCATATAAATAAAATATATGTGATAATAAAGTTTTTGTGAACAATCTGTCTTGCATAATTAAGCGAAAATAAAGTTCTCGTGAATAAAAAGTGTTTTACATTACTTGTCAGATTTTTGCCTGGGTGAATTTACTATATGCTATATGATATGTTAGGAGATTAACACATACATGAGTTTTTTTTAATTTAGCTGCTATAGACATAAGTACATACGTACCTCATCAGTAGTAGTCTTTATAAGGATCAGTGTGTACGTACCTCATCAGTAGTAGTCTTTATAAGGATCAGTGTGTACGTACCTCATCAGTAGTAGTCTTTATGAGGATCAGTGTGTACGTACCTCATCAGTAGTAGTCTTTATGAGGATCAGTGTGTACGTACCTCATCAGTAGTAGTCTTTATAAGGATCAGTGTGTACATACCTCATCAGTAGTAGTCTTTATGAGGATCAGAGTGTAAGTACCTCATCAGTAGTAGTCTTTATAAGGATCAGTGTGTATGTACCTCATCAGTAGTAGTCTTTATGAGGATCAGAGTGGGTTGGTGGTTCTCGATTCGTGTGTACAGGGTCCTCAGACTTGTCCCATGCTCCTCAGAAGTGTATAACAGTTCAGGCTGACACACAGCACACCGAGCTGGCAGCCAGGACCATATTGTATACAGCTAGAAAAAAAATGGTAGAGTATATAGTACATGGGCAGCCTTAGGAAGTGTCATGTGCTCAAGAGCCATAAAATCTTTATCTTTTTATTCTCTGTCTTGAAAAAGATTAAGCTCAGATCAGTTGACCAAGGAAATGCTATTTACTAAGGTGTTTTTAAAAAATTTCTAAAATAGGGTTGGCTGGAAATAAATTTCAATGCACTTTCTTACACTAAAGTTTTTTTTTTTAGAAGTATTTTGGTATAATTTTCTCTGCAAATTTGGACATCTGAATGATGCAATAAAAAAAATTTAACACAGATAGTATTGAAATTCAGGATATAATGGAATGCACAATCAATGTTATGGTTTATCAACTTTCGTTTACCCGTATATTGGCCTTGGAAAACAATTTAGAAGCTTGTATATGCTGATGTATACTGTTTTATACAGAGGACAGTTGTAGCCATTACAGAAAAAAGAACTATATACGGTAAGGGCGTATTCCTGCCCCCATAATAGTCAAATTTTGAAAATATCTTGAAATGAGAAAAAGTGCATATATTGTATAAAATAATCCAAATTAAGACAATATATTATGAAATTGGAATATTTAGTTGGCATTTCTTGTCTCTGTGACGTCACAAACTATTTGGATTTCCGTTATTTCTAAAATAGAGGCCAAAATGCACAGAGTTTGTTCAATTTTGACTATAGTATTTATAGAGCGCAAGCTTGCTCAGGTACCATATTCACATATTTCATTGATATTATCATTCTACACATTATATCAAAAGATCTAGTCTGAGCAGACCTGCGCTCGATAATTTCCAATCAAAATACCGATGTAAAATACGCTATTTTCTCTCAAAATCATTGCAATTTGGAATTTACGTCATTTTATTGACGTCATATCTAACTAATGATGTCATAGTTGATAAAAATATTTAATGCTATGAAGTCTGCAAATATCCACCTGGTTTAGAACATAATTAAAGATTTCTCCTCAAAGTTTTATTTTGGGGGCAGATACTGGCCACTACAGAATATAGTCCTTTACCTGTATTTTTTCTGCAATAGTTGAAACCATTAATTCTCACATTAATAATGAAAGCATTTTATTGTTTAAATAAAATTTCATATTCCAAAATATTCAACTAAAACAAGTACTTGAATTTGACATTTCATTTATCACAGTAGATTTATACACATCCTGGGGTCTAATGCTGTAAATTTAATGTACTGCATACATCAAGAATTATACCAATTATTTTCTCTACTCCATTTGCATGTCTACATTTAGTCATGACTAGCCTGTCTTTATGACTGAAGGGTAGATCGTGTGTGTAATGTCAGTGTTATAATTGATGTTGTATTCAATATCTAGGTCGACGGTTTCAGTAAAAATACAGTTCTGTTAAGTTCACAGTCAATTTTGATATTCATAAAATTTATCTCTGACAGTTGCTTTGTAAATCCATATCTTAAATATACATCCTTTGGTAGCATTTAAAAAAAAATTATAACATTTTCTTTTTATTCCAAGTTTGTGAAAAATGACATATTGTATCATAGTCTTTTGATTAAATTAAAAAAATCTCATCATAATTTTTAAAAATTATGGGCAGTTTTTGTATAAAAACTAATAACCCTAATTTTTCCAACCTTTTTGCATGTCAGTTTCCTGCGGACTTTTTCAATTGTTTTATCATTGACACTATCTTCTTCATCAACAGTTGAGAGAGTTATCTTCACACAATGTTTATGAAACAGCTTCTTAAAAGGCTTCCCAACTACTTTGCCAAGCTTCAAGGGCATTTTCACAAAGAAAAACAACTGATAATGTTATTTTGGTAACAAAAAGAAGAAAACTTTAAGGTCAATAGGCCCAATTTCAGAGTTATGTCCCTTTACAGATGATTCTAGACAAATATCTGGCTGTTTTCTTTGTCTCTTTCTACCAGTGAAGATGTATACCAAACACTTGTCTGTAGATATGCAATCACTCTGTGGTGCTGATACATGGCTTCAGCATTTTGATATAACAGAAAGTCCCTATTCTTCATTAAATCAAATTTCCTTAAAATATAAACTGACAGTCCCCAAAATATCAGTTTGTAAAGGATCCAAGTATACTAATATAAAAGAGAAAACTAACAGTACAATTAATTCTCTCCCCAAGGAAATACTACTGCAGAGTAAAGCCACAGAACAAGGACCCCACCAATCAGAGTAGTTCTCACTATCAGAGGCCTTATTTGGGGTTTCAATTTCCTCCTTCTGCAAACAATCATCTTCTCCATAGTTAAAAAAGGGAATTTTAAGATAGAAAATTTCTTAGTGTGTATTGTTGGCACATAAAATATCCCTAGAATCTTTTTATCATTTCTAAGTCCACATTCACAACATTCCTTTATGGGCCTTATTTTCTGATCTACGTATATATTACAGCACCTGCTCCAAATTCTACCCAGAACCAAGACCTGTCAAGGCTCATCAGTCATGATCATGTAGCACGTAATATTACAAGTGTCTAAACAGCCCAATATTGGCAGTCATATTCCATATAATTAACATTGATGATCTTTACACTTTACTTGCCCTCAAACATACAATCTATACATTTAGGAATTTACAATCTGGCTCTATATCCTACATCGATTCTTGGGGTGAAAAAATCCAATTCCTTAATATCTTTAAGAACTATGATCCTCCTAACTGAAGGTCTAGGTTTATTTTTTGTTTCACAGAGTAGAACAAATATTATAATGTAATTTGCAACAAAGTAGTAACAAAGACAATATTTCTCTCTATGAAAAATCACGAGTCTGAATTGAGCATAGTATATGGATCAAATATTAAGGAGTTTTAAACATCTTTAAACTTAATGTATGAACATTGGACAACAGTCATAGTCTGCATCAGCTCATGGACCCCCCACCCCCACCCCACCCCCCATCTTAAAAAAAACAACAAAAAATAACAGTGAAGGCAGCAAACTCAGGACTCAAACTTTACATGAACACAACATTCTTATATTTAGGTATCCACAAAAGAAATCCTCCAAAATCAAAGGTAAACAACAATCAAACAAAGAAGGTTTTTAAATGCTCAGTTGCTGACAATAATTTACTGTAACTCAAACAAGCAATGAGAACAAACAATTTTTTCTCTCTCTAAAGCTGATGCAATATGTTGGGTTGACAAACATGTTTTATTCATGCTCACTTACATCCTCCAAAATAACTACCAGACTTTCCACAGGGGGAAAAGTAAGCAGGCCCATAGACCTACTGCGAGTCTTCCAGGGAAAAATACAAATGATGATCAGCAAAGAAAATTCTCCATATTAAAATTTCGGGGCATAGACTGAAAACTTTTTTTTTAATTCAATCTTTTTTTAGTATAAAACCTATTCCTTTATTTTTTACATTTGAAAACTACATTATTTCCCTTTTAGAGATCTAGTAATGGTATGTATTGCTCAAAAGAAGAAAAAAAGAAAATCCTACCCAGAAATTGATTTGATTTGAATCTTACCATCTCACTACTGGTGACAATGCTGGACTGAGCTTGATCAAATACAATACGACCACTGAAGGAATGAGAGTGGGGGACACCACTGAAGGAATGTGTGGACGCTGACTTCTGTATCTCTTGCTGAAGATGGTGCTGGCTACTAACTGTCATCTCATGACGAAGTTGTAACTTCTTAATTTCTTTCTTCTTCAAGCCTCTGATCCTGAAGCCCCTCTGTTCAGAAAATAGAAAAATATAAGCCAATACATGTTATCCTATCTATCTAAAAGCTAAATGATCTCTCATTATTTCAAGTCCATTCTCCCTTGTGTAGCAAATTTTAAGTTGATATCTTCAGACGCTGTTGTCTTCATAGAAATTTTTTTCTCAATTAATAATACTAAGAATACACAAGAACATTTAAATTATTGTCATACATGTGTGAAAGTCAGTTAATATATCGGGTCTTAATAGCTCAGTGGTTAAAGTGCTGGCATGGTACGCCAGAGGCCCTGGGTTCAAGTCCTGGTTGAGACTTGATTTTTCACCCCCTGTGATATTTGGCATCCAATGTGTCACAGGTGGTGAAAAATCAAGTCTTAAATGGGACTTGAACCCATTGCCTCTGGCATACCGTGCCATTGCTCTAACCACTAAGCTATTGAGACCCGATATATTGACTGACTTTCACTCACCTGTGAACCCAGTGACATCATGAATTTTTACAAACAAAGGACATTATAATTAGAAAAGTTTATCTTGAAGTCATATGAAGCAATCTTTTATGGAATTTAAATAAAATGAACTCAGAGCGGAAAATGTGAAGTTCAGTTTCAAAGGAAAGCTAGAGCTCAGAAAATAAGACACTGTTGAATTTTTATCAGTGTATGAAATTTGATGAAAATATTTTAAAGAGTTTCTTTGAAACTAAGGTAAATGCAGAATGAGGAATAAGAAGGGTCAAGGTCACAAAGAAAGTCAATGGCAGAAAATCATGACACAACTAAACTGTCCTCACAAATATCTCTGTATGAAGTTTGATATATGGGTGAATTCAAAAAAAATGACCACCAAACTGAATTTTTTTGGCAAAATTCAACCACTTATAACATATTTTTCACTTATATCATCATATTGCAAATGCATTCTAGTTTAAAATCCTGAAGTGGCAATAGAATAAACAATTGGATTAAAAAGTTTCAGAATTCTTATGAGTAAAATTTCTTTTGAAAAAATAAAATATCATTACACCTTAAAAGACTTTCTAAAATACATAATCACAAGAAATTACAGTTTTTTATGCTTCAAAATGGTAAAAGGGGTATAAATGATTAAATCTAGACCTTGAATGAGTATCTTCTCTGGTACATGTGACAAAAAGTTGGCTTTTTGATTGTTATTTTACATTATTTTTTCAATTCTGGTTTGAAAAGTTTTAATATGAAAAAAATATGAGGCAATAAAATTCCCCAAAATTCACTTTTTTATCCGTTCAAGTCAATTCTTTAAATCTAAGCCAAAAAAGAATTGTTATATACGAGTTCTCTTACAAAAAATACTAGATTTTGAAGTGACCCTATGTTACATTATTGTGTTGCACTCCTGACTTCTGACATGTATTTTATTTAACATTGTTTTAAAAATTATAACACACAATAACCCACTCTTACTTTGTAAATCAATTTGTCGTGTTGATATTTTTCATCGTTTACAGCAGGTTTTTCATATTTTGAGGACCTTAAAACATGATTATTTGAAAAGTGTAATATATATAAATTTTATTTAAAATATATGTGAAATGATGAAAACTATTCCCTGAAATGACTGTAAAATTTCTGTAATTTGTTGATAGACATAGTGTTTTGAACATCAAATAGTATCAAACATTTTTTTCAACTTATTTTTTAGTACAGATAGTTAAAAAGCATCGGCAATTATGAAGCAGTTTTGTTGCACTCCTGACTGCAGTAAAGTTTAAAATTAAAACCATAGAACACAAAAATTCATAAAGTGTTGGCAACATCAAGTGGTAATGAAATTGTACAATACTTATAGTCCAATACTTCATAATTAAAACAGATGAAAGTATTTAAAATTTGCATTTTATCTGGAATTATACCCTATTTTATGCCAAAAAACTAGCTTAAATGTATATTTAGAAGATAAAATATATTTTAAAGCATATTTTCCGTTAGAGGACAAACACAGTAACCCACCAGAAAAATTCTACTCATCATTTTTTCTTTATTTTTATTCTTAGTGGATGATTTATAATTCTAACATATTTGTTGCACTCCTGACCAAAAGCATTGGGGCCTTTAAAGTAGAATTGTGAAGTGAAAATTACATAAGAACTTGTTCTGTTGTTTCAGTGAAGTTGAGGAGGAATTACTTGAATTTAATGACAATGTTTTAGTATGTTTATTTTTAACGTTCATTAAAAAAATCACAAAAAAGATAAAAACACATCTGAATTGATAAAATTGAAAAAGGAAGAATTTTAATAATAAAACTATCAATAATTTAGCATTAAATTATACAAAAAGATCATTATTAATTAATGAATACCTCTAAGCATGAATAGAAGTCTTTTCGACACACAACTTGAATCATTAAAAAAATGTGTTGCACTCCTGACCATAGAAATATGGATCTGAAGGACAGACAGATCCTGTAATTGATAAATCTATTTGGTAAAAATGTTCTTTGTGTCTTTATTTTCCAAAGTAAAGATCAGAAAATCATATAATGTTAATAGTTTTTTCATGCTTGGGAGCAAAACATCAAATGTTGCACTCCTGACATTTTTGGGTATGCACATATACTTGACTCTCATTAATGCTGCTTGTGATTTATATAACATTTTTAAGTTTTAAAATGTATATCAGTTATTATTTTACACTTCCAAAATTCTTTTTTGTCTTAATTTTCTATCAGAATTTTACAATTGATGTTTTTTTGGCAACACTACATTTTTTCTGTTGCACTCCTGACATGGTATAACATTTTTTTAAACGTCTGTCATGACCACAACTTGATTAAACAAAAGTTATGACAGTCCACATTTAAAGCTCAATACTTTGAATATTATCAGGAAAGTTTTTATTTTCAACATGAAGCATTGTTTTTTATTTCACAGATCTCCAAAAAATATTGAAATTTCAAAATGTCACAAAAAGGTGTTGCACTCCTGACAATTTTAGCATCATTTTTGGGCATAACTTTTTTGTTAATTGAGATATCAACGAGATATTTGGCAGGTATTTAGACACTATCTAAAGACATATACTGAGACATAGAAATCTATTTTTATTGCCTGTATTTTTAGTGTGGGTTGATAAATATGCGTTTGGTCATTTTTTTTTAATTCACCCATATATAAACTATATATATTATAATATATATAATAAGATATGTATACATGTACTACCTTTAGCAGTTTCTCAACAGGGAATGGCATATTGGTACAAAATTGTCGAATTCTTTCAGAAACAGTGTAAGTATCTGTAATTACCCCATGGTGGTGTTGTTTAGCTGAAACTGTAAGCAGAACAGAACCACTCTGTTATCATTGTTATAGTTTTTTCTCCTTTCACTGTAAACACAACTCATCCTTTTAAAGCTTAAAACAACTCACTTATAATTAACTATGACTGATACAATTCATTATTGATAACTACTTGAATTCTTTGAAAAAGACTGATCAATTATTTTTAAGTATGAAATCATGAAAAAATATTTACTGTACCTGTCAACATGGGGAAAAGGGAGGAAATTGATACGAGAATTAACATTTTACTGTTAAACTGAGACACTTAGGAAGAAATTGTAACCTTTGCTTACCTGAGTATTTTGTAAAAAAGATGAGTATAGCTGGAACAATTGCTTACCTGAGTATTTTGTAAATAAGAGGAGTATAGCTAGAGTTGCTTACCTGAGTATTTTGTAAATAAGATGAGTATAGCTAGAACAATTCTGTACAGCACTTTCACTCCTTCCACTAAATAACAGTCCAGAATTCTCACCTGTAAAGTAAGCCCCAAAATCCAACATTAGATTGGGTTCCTCTTTTCAAATGAAATATTGTAACAAGTGCCTAGTGTCTTGATCAACATTCTAAAGAGAGTGTGCTTTTTTTTAAAGAAAAAAAAGTTTGTTATTGCTTTTTTTGGATAAACTATGTCATGAAGGCTTAGGAGGTAATGAGCATTTACTCATGAAATGAAAAAAAAAGTTTGATTGATTTATTGCTAACAGATTAAATCTTATCAAATATCATGAAACTTTTCTTGATAAAATACCACTAAATGATCAATGTTGTTTACTTTGAAAATAAATAATGTATATGTGTCTCCAATCTACCTTTATCTATTAGAGTCAATGACCTAATGTCATATAGGTTTAGATGAGGAGTTATCTCTCCTGATCACACTCATCAGTCCTCCTGATTTATGTGTCAACACACACAAATCAGGGGATCTTGGTATTGCTAAATCTAATAACCACATGTCTACCAAACCTACAGGTAGAGAAAACAGATAGTTCTCTCATGCACATAAATCTCGTTTGAAAGACTTTGAATTTGGTGAAGAAATAAATTTTATCTCTTAAATACGTTCTTCTGTGCTTATCTAAAGAGCCTAAAACTCCTACTTTCACCCCCCTCCCCCCCCCCCCCCCCCCCAAATTTTGGAGTGGTAAGCTATGTTATTTAAGAAAAAGACAAAAGATTGCAAGTAAAGGACTTTTTATATAAAAAGGTGAAAGCATTTGCTTTTTTTTTTTGCAAATGACATGGAATGTTACAAGATACACAAAGTAAACCCTTTTTCTTCTCAGTTATTTGCCTTGGGTGAATTTTTATACAAAGCAACAGCTCTACAAAAAAACCAGTTCATAATTTTTTTCCAGATACATCTATTTGTTATTAACCATGTATGCGTAACTTTACATTGGTATATTTTATATCCTTTATATACTAGTATTATGCAAATGTAAAATATCTTATTTTAGTACATGTATAATATATCTTATATTCTGTTAAATGTACAATAATTGTTTAATCTGGTGAACCATATGGCTTAAATAATAAATAAAATGAGAAAATGAAATAGTACCCCAAACTAGGTAAGACAAGTCACAATTGAAATTCAGAAATTAGAATATTGTTATCAACAACATCAAAAAAAGGGGGAGGGATTACTACCTAGTCCTTCATGATACTGGATAAAGCTGATAAGACTTGTTTCAACATATGCTTAGAAATCTGAGGTCATAACTGATAAAAGATTAAAAAGACCATCCCTAGGTATGCAGAATGGTACAAGTGGCTACCAATACTGCGTAATCACATGAAGGTATATATACCTATTATATATTTCAAAATCCTTTATCCTTATCTCAATTTATCAATGATCAATCTGCTTTTATCAAATGTTCAGGCACTTGTTATATTAGATTTCAATTTCTATTTTTTTTAAAATTAAGATGTAAGGTGTAATAATTTTAATAAAGATTTTTAAAGAATTTATAAAGCTGTATGTTATTTTGATCAGTTATCACCAGATAATTTAATTAAATGCAAAAGTGAATATATTTCCTGTTCAGAAATTCCCTTTTTTTCAGCTGAAAATTAATGGATGCAATTAATACACCTGAAGGTATAAGTCAGCCACTACTATATTTAACTTTACTACGCGGAAATAAAAACTGTTGGTGTTTCGCTCTCAGGTACATAAAAGTTAATGTACTGCCCTTTTTTAAGTGTTAAAATAAGAACAATGTATATATGTGTGTGAATACCGTATATACTCGCCTATAAGTCTGTTTTTTGGGAGTTAAATTTTGGTCCAAAACTCTACGTCCGACTTAGAGCCGAGTCAAGAAAAGATTAGTATTTTTCTGGACAGTGAAATGTAGTATTTTATAAACATTTTCCATGATTATCATTGAACAAAGTCTGGATATATTATATCATTTAAGTATTCTAAGATTATACATAGAGTACAAGTATTTACATATTTTAATACCTTTTTTTATCTTAAGTGTGCATTAGGTATTTTTCTTAATGATTTAAAATTCAATATCGGTGTCATTTCTAAAATATTAATCAAAATCAGATTAAAATATTAGAGCATTGATTTGAAATTGTCAACTGATTCTGGCAAAAAATTGTACCGACTTATAAGCGGGTCAATGGCAAATCCATCCAAAATAATCTAAAAAAATACAACCAAATTATAGGCTGACCGACTTATAGGCGAGTATATACGGTAGGTGCATCAGTACATAATGTACCAGTATACTGTGTTAATGCATTTTTTAAAGAAAAATATTGGAAAGTGTATACATCTAAGAATTTCAGTCATTGTCAAATAAACCGACTTCAACCATAAAAGCATTTTCAAAAAGAGAAATGAGAAATTCAATATGTATTCTTAGGGAAAAGCTTTTAAGACTCCGCAGTCACAAATGTTAATTATGTCATATTTAGGAAAAATAATAGTATTTACCGACTCTATCTCATATTGAAGTTGATAAAATACAAATTAAATATCCATAGACTCTATCTTTCATGTGGCTCCAAATTACAGTTTTGATACATTAAAGAAGCTTATTTTGATGTTAAGTGCTTTCAAATTGAATGTAATGAAAATATTTAAGACTCAATGTTTTGTGCAAACATGTGGGGTGCCACAAAAGACACTTTTGTGCACTGTACTTACAATGTGTGGGAAGGGTAGATCAGAAAAAAGCCACCACATCCACGAATCAAACACAGATGTAATGTCACTGCTATGTCTGACCAAATATACATAAGCTGATTTCTGTAAATAAATAAAACAAGTTCTACTCCAAGGTTTCTTACATCATTTTCCAATTGTCAAATATATGCTCTAACCTGAAACATCCTTATTTTTACCTGCATTTCCTTAACAACAATCTTTTTTTTTTCTTCAATTTTTTGTAAATGCTGATGTCAACAATTATTGCCTAACAAACATACAAAACAATTCTCTATTGCATCTTGTATAAATTTATTTTATTGAGTCTTCTTTTATCAATGCTGATTTCAAATTTTGATCTGCATTTGCTCTACTTTTACACCCTTTTCCAGCATTTTAAGCACAAACAGCTACAGAATCCAAGTTTTCTTAATCATTCAAATTATTTACCGCATATTTTTTGGTAAGGTCTCTGAGTACAAGTTTGGAAGCCTCAACAGCAACTTTGGTCTGCATGATGCAGGCATCTTTGGAACGCAGTAAAGCATAAATACAGTTAAAAGCATCAGAGGGTCCCATGTAATGGAGGAAAATACTCAGCTTGGCATACAGTGTAGGACAATACAAAATCTCTGGATTGGTATTTTGGATTATAGCGAGGATTTTGGCCACAGTTTTGGTTCCCTGTTCAGACAGGTGATAGGAAGTGAGGTTATTAAAATCCACAAAGGGAGGTAAAGCTATGTCATCTGTGTTTCCTGGAAAAATAAAAAATAACTTGTGTATGTTATTCAAATAACAAAATTTATCATAATTAGGTTTTACAAAAATGACATATAAAAATATCCAACCAATGAAGCTTTGTAAAACGTATCTCTCTGTATAGATAATGAAAACTTCAACTTTCTTATTTCATGAGGATTCTGATTAAACCCAACTAAACATGAATAGAAAGAAGTACAACTTACTTTGGTGGAAAAGATCTTTTTCATAATCTTCATATAGATTTCCTTTGGCTTTGTGAAGAGTTTCACAGACTCTGACCCAGAGTTGACCTCGGATGGTGTGGTGGGTATCCCAGCTGTTCTTCCTGTGAAAGTCTTTTAGTTCCTTATTACTGTTTTTATACCCCTTCAGAAGATGTGTAAGTTCCATTTCACCATCATTTCTCTCAGTCTGGCCCGCTATTCCTGAACGTATGAGATTTTTATGATCCACATAGTGGGTAAAAGGAATGTTGACACTCTCATCTGGAATGACCTCAAATCCATTAGAAATCACATCCGAGTCCTCAATATCTCCCGGGGTGATCTCAGATTTACTCAAGGTCACACTAGAGTCCCCATTTTCCATTTGACTGGAATCTTTGGGTTTCATATCCATTTCATTTTTCACTTTTTCACTATCTTCAAAATCCTTTGATGTGTTGTCTTCCCCTGTAGGCACATGATCAATTTCTTTATCCTCACTTTTTATCACAGTTTCCTCACCTGTTTTAACATTATCAGTATTTGCTCCTTCTTCCTCTTTTAAACTTTCTTCTCTTTCATTGTCAGCCTCATTTTCACTGTTAGCCTCATTTTCATCCTGTCCACCATTCTCAGACTCTCCCTTGACAGACTCTTCGACTATTTCAGCTAGGCTCTCTTCAATCTCCTTTTTTCCATCATCACCATGATCACTATCATTTCTAGCTATCTCTTCATCATTTAATTGCCCTTCCTTAAATCCATCAATCACTTGTTCTTCTTTTTCTCTACTTTCAATTTCTTTTCCTGGATCACTCTTTTCATATTCAGTCTTTTTCTCCATGTCCTTGTTGGTAGAATACATTCAGACATCTATCCCATGACTGCACTGGTAATGAATCTACTATCTCGCTAATCTAAATATTGCCCAATTTAGATGTTGCAACTGAGGATTCAACCTACAAAGAAAGGAAAAATTCACATTTAAGGACATACGCAACGTAGTTTGAACTTTATTGTCTTTTTCCCTGGAGTTGAAGAGTTCCAATACTTAAAGGAACTGTGTGCTATATTTTAATGTCTATATATACTGTTGTACACTTCTTCTAAAACAAGTTTTGATAAACAAAACATCTAGAATATATGCTTAATAGTAATTTTTGTATATTTTTCTTTAAATTATACAAGAATTTTCATCAATTGATATCTTTTCAAAACCCCTGGTAATGCATGCTGATTTTTTGTCTATGAACATCTGATGGCATTATAATCTTAAATTAAGAATATCTTGAAAAATTATCAGTAGGTAAGGTACGTTGCGTATGTCCTTAAATGCATGAACATAAGTCTAGACTGCCATGGGACATATGGATGGATTCTGAAAAGGTGTTAATAGTTATTTCAACTGAACCTTTATAGACACTGGAATGAATTGGCTACCTATAAAATACATGGCCAATATTTCAGGAAATAAATTTCATGTCCAGAATTTACATGATATTTTGAGAAGAGTTTGATGTAAATTGTAAAACAACTCTGACTAAAATCTAAGTATGCATGCATTTTCCACTCCATATTTGTACCGGTACATTTAATCTGTAAGTAGAGAGGTCAGTTACTGCTGAGAGTTCGCATTCATATGTATTGTTTTATCAATATATCACAACCACTGAAAAAGAGTCTATCAAGATATTTTACAAGTTTAATGATTGACTATTAAGATTCTTTGTAGTTCAGATAAAAGAAGGAAATGTGACTATAGAGTCAACACTTTCAGCAATGTTCAGGTAGCATGATTATTATAATACAGAACTAAGACCCGTCACATCCAATGCTATAGATTAAATTTATTAAACTACATTGAAGTTCTTTTCATTCTTTTGTTAAAAAGTTCAGCAGCAATAATACCCATCATTATGCTCATATACTTCCCCCCAGACAGTACCTGACCATCACAGGATAGTATTTTTGTACATTTGTATGTAGGTGAGATTTTGTAGATAAACTGCTCTGTGAAAATGTTCAAGGACATGCAGTCTTACCAGATAAGAAAAGATTTAAATGCCATAAATACTCCATCTGGAGAGTACTTTCTAAATTTCAGATTACCTAGTTATCAACATGAGGAAGTATGCCCAATACATTGCAAATGAATTGAAAAGCCTTACTAATTTCAGACAGCTTAAACATCTACATCCATTTGTGACAAATGGGTAATTTCAAAGTTTAAAATATCCATGACATTGTCATGTGACTTTAATTACATAAATCTGGCTAATTAAAGCAACTGCAATTTATTCCAATGTTATTTTTTATTTTCTGTTCAAAGTTTATTTTGTTCCTATTAGAATAATATAGAGCAATCAACTTACAGTTCAAATTCAATACAGATTCTATTAAAACTTTACCTGTTTATACACTTAATCAAACAATGATTAAGGAAGTTTGATCAGAGTCAATGAATATTCTACATACTTCCTTCAATGAAAGAGAAGGTCTGGAAGTATTCCATTTAAAGTGCACTGTGCATGTAATGCCATGGATCATTTACTTAACTAGATGTTCATTATGCCAAATTGTCACATAAATTGCGGGATGAAAAGAAAAGCCTACACCTCAAATAATGTACAAAAACTTTTACATACAGTCAAACCATCTGGAATAAAATATAAACACTGACAGAAAACAAGATGTGTGAAATACTGGTGATTCATGTCCAAGGTCTTTCAAAAGAAGGTCAAACTCAAAGGTCAACATCATCAGGTCAGAAATGTTGTTACTCAAAGAAAGGTCTTGCCACAAGGAATAAACATGTGAAATATGAAAGGCCTAGCAACAACCTTTCAGAAGTTAAAGCCAATGTTGAAGTCTTCCAAATGTAGGTCAAACTCCAAGGTCAAGGTCAGGAGATCAATTGTCGGTACCCATAGAAAAGTCTTCGCATAAGAAATATACATGTGAAATATGAAAGCCCAGGGCTTGACCAACTATTCAGAAGTTATGGCCAAGGCTAGAATTTTTTTTTTTTCCAAAAGTAGGTTAAAGATGAAGGTCACAGTCAGGAGATAAAAAATGATGGTACCAAAAGAAAGGTCTTTTCACAAGAAATACACATGTGAAATATGAAAGTCCTAGCATTTACTACTCAAAAGTTATAGCCATGGTCAAAGTTTTTGTGAAACAAAGAGACAGACAGATGGACAGACCAAAACTTTAGCAAAAACTATAATCTTTGATTACGGGGGAATAAAAATTTTCATGAACACATAATAAGTACACCACAGTAAACATGTTATCTCTCTAAGCATTTCAAACAATAATTATGATGATTATTATATCACAGGTAATCATAAATAGTTTTGTTTGTTTGTTTTTTTTTGTAATCTTTATAGTTGTTTCTAAAACCAATTTTTTAGTTCCACAGATTTGTCAAGAAGATATCAGACATAATTTTATTTTCAATGTGTTTTCTTTTAAACTACACAACAAAAATATCTTTTTTCACAAGCAGTATACAGAGAAAGTTCAGTTATCTTGTTAGTCTAAGACTACTTGCTTTTTGAGGAAACATTATTCAAATAATCTGAAAATAAAGCAAGTTTCTGGGCAACTAAAAACATATATTAACGTACATGTATCAATAAATCCTTTGACATTTTTTAAAGAATCCTCTTGCATGTGTCTAGTATCAAACATTTTGCATATCACACTGTTTGATCCAATTAACAGTAAATCTAGAGAAACATTTCAAATTTCTGACGAGTCCTTAAATATCTGACCTCGTAACTTTTTGGAAATAAATGTTCATATACACTTTTTATCAAGTTAATGGCAAACTAACATCCCTCAAATCTAGACTAATCAAACAATTAACTTAAACTTCTCCAAACCACATCCTGTAACCCAGACATAATTAGCAAAGACAGTAATTATGTTAGCAATGTAAAATGTAGTCTACTCATTATCAATGAATTTAACATACATCTGCAGATAAGTGTATGTCCTTAGGCTAAGAATAAAATCAGGTCAATCTTGTGTGGATAACTATTTAAAATATCTACAAAAACATGTCAATGTCTTATCATTCCCCTTGCACATGTTGTACACAATAAAGTCATATAAAATACACACAACATAGATTCTCATTGTCACCTGATTGGGGCTGACTCAGCATTGACCTTAGCTTCTGACTTGGATTTCTTTTCTTTTCAAAAAGAGATCGAGCAAATTACGACTTAATTAAGAATCTGTTAGATATTATTCTAAATGTTAATGTTATTCAAACTAAACAAAATACACTCCAATTTGTTTTAAAAAGAGACAGAAAAAGAAAGGTAGATCACAAACAAAATACATAACATCAATTTTCTTAACTCTGAATCTTGTTAAGCTATAGTAACATAATAATTCTGTACTGACAGTTCAAATGTTATATATATGTCTGTACATATATACATGATCATCAATGCAAACCATACATGTGTGGAAGTTCATGTATGAAGCATTGTTAGTGATATGAAATGAATTAAATACCTGTTATGATCAGATGCAGATGACAATACCTAGGATACAATCCACATTTCAGCCTTTTTCTTCTAAAACACAATTAGATAATTGTATATAATTTTTACAGGGCATTGAACTTTTCACTGTGTGTCATCAAAATAAACTTCATGCAGGTTGATATATATCTCTAAATCATTGTCGAATCAAGTCTATCGTTGACATTGTCTGACAATCATTTGATGTCAAATCCTTCTTTCGAATTTGAAATAAATTGATCAGAAATGGTTGATAATCTTTATTCTCTCCTAGGGGGAGGGGGTGGAACGACATGACTGAACAATGAAAAAAAAAGATTCTATCTAGAGCCAAGAGGTATCTGTCAGGAAGGGCAGTTTAATACCTGCACTCCATCATTTGCCTTTAGGATCTGGTCATTGTAAACAGTTCCTTTTCTATAGACCCAGGTGGTTATTGAAAGATTCAAATCTGAATAATGGAACTGCTTGAAAAAAGATCAGTCTGTAGATTAAGAAGCAAATTCAGTCATTATTTGGCTTGTAATAACTTAATTTTGGATCTCTTTAAAAAAAAAATCTACCTAGTAATTACTTATCCAGAAAATGTGCATCATGCAGAATATTGGTCAATATATATAACAAATATATATTATTTTATAATATTTTACTTCTGAGTTTAAAAGTTCAGCTTTATGCAGCATTCAAAGCAAAGTATCCATCCTTAGTAAAATCATCTAAGAAAGTTTATTAAATTTAAGAATTATAATCCATTAAGGGAAGTGCCCTGCTCTAACAGCTTTTATTTGACCTATCATCCAGTAAATATAAGCCACATTATTGTATGTATTCTTTCGTCATCATCAATGTTTAAGGAATAAACCTGCTTATTGTCAGATTCTAAGCACATCATTTATCTGGAAAACTAGTTCAGTTCAGTTCAGTTCTTTATTCCATAGGATGTACATCCCATAGGCATTACAGTATGATATAATATATTTATCAGTTATAATACATACATAGTACAATAACATGATATACACTTACAAACTTGTGATACATACATTCTATTATTTAGCTAATTGTTTTAAACATTCTAATCGTAATTTATTAGCATGATATATATATATCCCTAACTGATTTACATCTTTGGTATTTGTACAACAAAATAGTTGTATGAGTTTAAAGACACTTGGTCTTCGGGAGTAGTAATGTTTGATGAATTTGTCTAACCCAAATAACCCAAATATTCATCTGAAAAATCTGGGCCATTTATGCAACTGAAACCTTACTATTTCTTCATTACAGATCAAATCAAATTCTTAAATAGGGCTGTCAATTGTCTTTATATGGACCTTTTAAAGGCCCCAATTCAAAAATGTACATTTTTTTTCAACTAAATAATTATGTTAAGATTCCAACATTAGTCTTTACCCCCTGAAGGGTTTCTGGTCAACTTCTAACCTGACTTGTAATTAAGTCAACTCTAATCCAATAAGTCAACTTGTATCCAAAAGTCGACTCTTAACCAAGACTCTGGTTACATATAGCATAATAACATGTAATTAACTGATATTTCACTTTTATGCACATTGGTATTTGGAAAATATTTAATTTTTTAGTATGTATTCAGATGTGGAATAAAACTTTAAAGAATATAATTTATCATTAATGAGGATTTGTCATTTATTACGATATCGCGATAATTATGCTACAAAATTTGAAAATATTGTTCAGCCAATGGCATTTTAAAAGATATCTTTTCCCGTCAATGTACATTAGTTGGCTATTCTTTAAGTATGTTTCTAACAAATATCTCATCCATAGTCAATTTGTATTGCACCCTCAGTAATATCTCTGAGACATTACGTCACTTATAATGTCTGGTTCTCAAATATTGATCTCCAGAGCTGTAAATTAACATTTCGATGGAACTGTACTACGGGGAAACATTTTTTATGGGGATATATATTGTCTTTTAAATATATCACTTACCTTTGTCAAATACTTTCTCTCCAGTTTCAGTTTCAAGATTGTTTATCAAAGTTTCAACTTTTTTTAACACAAAAGGCGTATTCGATATTAGATAACTTGTACCAATAATGCCCATGAGATGTTAGAAGATAACACGCACAAAGACCTATTCGCTTAACAGTTATACCGGTGTTGTAGAGTATGATTTTCCCCATAGCCAGCTTTTCCCTCAACTCCTTACTCTAGGTTAGAACTTTTTCCGAAAGGAAATCCCGCAATAAAGCCAAATTTCCCTCATTTTCTTTCTTAAAGTAGTCCTGAGTCCCCCTATTTTTCACAGGTACTTGGGTCTTGGCTTATAAATATGTATACCTATTGATATGTAAAAAAAAAAAAAAAAAAAAAAAAAAAAAAAAAAAAAAAAAATTCTTTTTTTTTTTAACATATTAATAGGTATACATATCTATAAACCAAGACCCAAGTACCTGTGCTATTTTTTCAATCCTAAAATCAGACGACAATATTTTGGCTATAAAGGTTATACGAAAGTCAACTGAATTTTTAATGGAAATATATATGAGTGTTTTCGCTCATGCAGATATTGTTCAAATTTAGTATGAAATCTTAAAATTTATTGCTCAAATCATTGAATCTCAACCCAAATACGTAAGGCTCGATATCTCAACACCTCTCTTGGCGCAGCGCACGGTCCCTGTTTGTTCAAGAATTTTTTAAACCCTCAGAAATTTAATTTGTTTGCCCTCTACCGACCCACTATTTTATCTGTGGATCGGTGCTTTTTTACAGAGTGTGTAAGAAAATTATAAAATTTATACTATTAATAAATTGATAGGTTCCATATATCATTTTGTGAGCCTATTTGAATCGAGTTGTTCAAAGGGGAAAAAAAAGATATAAAACGAGAAACACTGCTCCTGCAAACCGTAGCATAAATATTTCCCCTCGATCCCAGCGATGTAATTTTGGATTTGAAAGCAGAGAGTAAATACTACCTTAAAGTTTTGAAAAATTCACCCATTTTTAGTTCCACGACAACCACAGCTGTTTCGGATATTTAAACCTCAGAAACTGGGAAACACGGAGCTGCGGAGAGACGCTTACACATCGATATTATGTACATGTAGTGTGAAATACAATTGGAGGGAAAAAATCAATTTAAAATAAAATTCCTTCTTTTCTTTCCCTAGCTACAGTTAAAATATTGCCCAACCGATTTCATTATACCATTTTTTTGGACTCAATTGAAAAGGATAAAACTTCCAAAATGCTTCAAAAGAATTGGCTCGGCAGTTACTGAGAAAAATGAGATTTAAAATTTTCAATTTTCATACTTTGTTTGTTGCAATGCCAATGGTTGCCATTTGAAAATTGTAAATGAATGCATGACTATATAGACTTTTCGATTGACTTGTTTCATTAAAATTGTCTATACTGTGAGAGCACATTTTGGGAAAATTATAGAATGGACACGTGTTACAATGCCCCCCCCCCCCCACCCACCCATAAGAACTGGAATGATATTTTATTGGGGAAAATTTGGCTCTGGTGGAAACTGCACTCTATAATTATAACCTTAAGTATTTTTTCCAAGAAAATAGAATCTGGTATGGGGTTTCCCTAAAGGAAATTCTGCTCTAGAGTAATTTTTCTGTGGGGGAAATCATACCCTAGAGCCCATGTTCCAAAGGGAAACCTTTTCTGGGGGTGCATGGGGGTGGGGGTTGAGTTGAAAGCCTGCTTTACAAGACCGATAAGTATTTAAACATCTTCCTAAATACATGTATATGAAGAGTAGACATTACTGGTGGTTCAATGTATCAGCCTCCCCAAATATAGTGAAAATGTTAATATCTTGATGTATACTTCATATTGGTATATAGGGTTTAAAGCATCATGTGAAATATTCTTAAATCTGTACTGACTGCATGATTACATTACAGCAATTTGGTAAATTTCAATTTTTCCAAATGTGTTCTTGCATATAAATAAATTGAATAAAAACATGTAGTTCACATAATTAGAAAAAAATGTTTATTCATATCTAAATAACAACAACAGAAAACAATTAAAAAAACAAAACAGAAACAGAAACATCAGGATAAAATAATACTAACAACTGAGAGCAGGAAAATATAACATGTACTAAGCACCTTAACTATGGGGTTACTCCCTTCTCTACTCCAACATTCTTAATAAACTCATCTTCGACTGATAGATAAAAGAAAATCATTTAGCTAATTAAAGAACAATAAATTAATATTATGATGTTCAATTTTTCATTATAAAGGCAGTGCTTCTTAATTTAAATTAAAAAAAAAAACATGCAGGGTAGATATTTCAGATCTTGTTTATATGAACTTCATCAAAATTTAAATGAGACATTGATTTAGCTAGATCTGATCTCCAACAGAAACAGTTTATTTTCCTACATTTGAATATACTGGTACTCATGCACTCATATTATTTTCAATAAATTGAAAAAAACTTTTTTCTGTGCTTTTCATTCAACAAGTGATATACTGTCCATGTGCCATATACAGAAAAAAAAAATTGCATAACACGAGTGTATGCACACTTATTAAATCCTCAGCCATGTTTTTTTTTTCTATCTTATGTGTGATACTTTTCAGAAAGTAGCATGGTGACATTTATTTTTTAAAAATAAACAGTTTGGCACATTGATCAGATAAAATTCTATCCCTGTGAAAAGTTTTACTTGTTGAATCTGTCCACACTTATTCGACTGTGGACAACATTTCCAGTCTTTAAGATACGATTTACAGGATCTAACATTATACAGTGTTTGATGAATTTGACTGTGAGTAAATAAAGTTCAGAATTCTGGTCCCATGGCTTGCATACATTAAGGTGAGTGGTTGACAAAGGGTGGAACTCTCCAATACCAGGGTCTGTAAATATTGAAAATTTATTAAAAATTAATATTTCATTTAATGATATTTTAGTGCATTAACATTACACACCCTATGAAACATCATAAATAAACATTTTTCATGCACTATAGAGTGAATGACATGATTATTTGTGTCACTCAGGAAGACAATTACCAGCAAGTTCTGTTTGCTGGTAAAATATGTTTGTGTAGAGTGTGACTCAACTAGTACTGTCTCGATTTAAGTTTTAGGGTGTCTACCTATCAATAACATGTCCCTGTCCCTGGACAAGCAGCACTGACCGAATTCACTAAGAGGCATAGCCTAGGGCTCTCATCCAGTAAACAACATGTAAACTTAACACATGTACGAGCAACAGACTTACCCGTATTAGCTTTTATAACATTAAGTTTAATTTCCATTGTTTTCATTGGATGAAGAAACCCTAAAATTGATGTCATTCATGAAATGTGTTCAAATATCTTACAACTCCACACTTCTTGACTGTACTTATCACTGGGCTCTTGGGAAACTATAAGAATTTTGACTGTCCTCATCACTGGATTATGGGGGAACTATAAGAATTTTGACTGTACTTATCACTGGACTATGGGGGAACTATAAGAATTTTGACTGTACTTATCAATGGACTATGGGGGAACTGTAAGAATTTTGACTGTATTTATCACTGGACTATGGGGGAACTATAAGAATTTTGACTGTACTTATCAATGGACTATGGGGAACTACCGGTATAAGAATTTTGACTGTTCTTATCACTGGACTATGTGGGAACTATATGGAATTTGACTGTACTTACCACTAGACTCAGGTGGGACAATAAGAAGTTTGATCCTTTTGTATCCAACAGTCTGCTTCTCTGTTTCACCAAAACTCAGACACTTGATTCTGTTTTCTGACACAATCTGCTTAAAGTTGTTGTGTAAGGTTCTCAGAGCTAGAGAATCTAAAACAAAGTTTTATTTGTTTACATCTGTTAGCACGGTACACTGTGATGCACATGTCACAATGTACAGTGTGTTTGTAGTTACCAAGAGAGACAACTGATTGTTTAAATTTTGTACAAAATCTGAAAGGTAGATTATGAATAGAGATTAAAGATTAATACATTCATTTGAAATTTTTAGTTTAGTCAATCCCAGAATATTTTTCATTTCTAATTTTTGTGATATATTGGTGTTGTAAAATATTATTGTAGCAAATCAAAATATACGGATCGTGAGATGATATTGTTTTATTACAATTTCATGTATAACTACTGCTTGTAAAACCAGTTAATATATGTATTTCAGAATTTTGTAGTTCTGTGCCAAAATTAATTTTGTTGTAAAGTGTACATATGGTGTATATGTGCTTGGTATGAACACATTATAGCATACCTTGACTTAGTTCCTGGACTTCTACTGTGGGGGAGAAAATACGACTCCCACGGTTTGAGATGTTAGCGAGGGCAGAGCCTCGGTGTGGGGTGCTGTAAAAGATGACTCCTGATGTGTTGTGAACAATGTCTGAACAATCTGGATGTAGGTTACTCTGACTTAAAACTTCCTTGACCAACAGCCCTGCATCAAAATTACAGTTATTTACTGTAACAGTTTGAAAGATTCTGGCATTTATACATTTTAAGTAGGGAAGGCAATCAAATACAGAATTGCTAATTGGTAACTGCAAGATGTTCTGACTGATTTAACTGTTAATCTTAACAAAATATACACAATTTCTTGATGTGTTTTTTTTTCAGTAAGTCCTTTTCATATATTTATGAAGACTTAAAAAAGACACTAAAATTTTTTCCGACCAGATCTCACACAAATTCACACTGTTCAATTCATTTGAAGTCTCAAGTGCAATACTTCATGATTCTGCTAAACAGCTGAAGAGGTAAAAAGTGCTATATTTGAGTGTGCTAATTTATGTATGTTTAAAGTATTAAATATATATTTTTTCTTGACTTTTTTGGCTGACACTGTTCCAGTGAATGCTACCTTTCTTTAACCACTTTTAATATATGCAGCTGTAAATGGGTACATTGACTAGATGGTGGTAAAAAAGAATTAATTAAATGTACTTCATTTTTGAAAATTTTGGAACACTGTTTCAGCCTTCATTTCATGAGAACAATGCCTTAACAAGTCAGGTACACTACCTTATATGGAAGACAATTTTCAACACGTGACGATGTTTTCGTCACACCCATTCTCCAATCAATTGAATAAGTCCCAAAGCATGACAGTCTACTACATGTTTATGATTCAATAGCGACACGTGGTTTTCGTCGGTTTACTGCATGATATTTACTTTGTCACTGGAAAAACCATAGAGCTTCTTTTTTACTTTATAAGGCCAAAATTGAAAGATTATATTCCAAAGACACTGCTCCATGCTCACATTTAATATTGGAGTTGTTTTAGATGATTAATAGTCGCTTCAAATTCCGTACTAGTAAACGCTTTGACGTTTGCATGTACATAAAAACATTTTGAAAATATTGAGGGATTAAATAATAATTGCGCACCTTGTACTGCTGTCTAAAACTATGTACATGTATATCACGTGAAAAAAAACTCTCAATGCTTTATCGACACAATAGCACCTACGTCTCTTTGAACAATGGTTTAGGCCGATGTATTTTACATTGATATAAGGCTTCATAATTCAAATTTTGTAAATGTAAGCATAGAAATGAAAGATTATACATCATTTTTAATATTTCTGTTCATAAATCTCAAAAAAGAATTGAAAATGAGTTTCCAAGGGACAATTCAAGTTGCCCTTTCTTTTCAACACAACTGAGTACTTGTAGTAGCCCATAATGCATTGCGACTCATTCATCATTGGGTAAAGTAAACAGAGAGCTAATTTACATGCAAATTTATGCTGACGTCAGAAAAACTAGTGGTCTCGACCTGCTTAATAACTCTGCACCTTTCAACAAGCTAGATTTACCTCCCATTGAATGTGTGACCCAGATAATAGGTCGTGACCCCACCCCTGCTGCCTTCAACTTTTTTTGAAGTTCCGAAGCTCTTCTTGGCAGGGAACGCCTACAACAATTTAAATATTGTTAAAAAGTCAGAAGTTTTTTTTTAACAAAGCTGAGTTCCAATGACTTGAAAATGATTTAGCACAAGTTTACTTAAAACTGACTTTTTGGTTCTGAATAAATAGATAAAGATGTACAGATGTTTTTGGATGACAAAATAAAGGATGGTGAAGAATAAAACCAAAAGTTTCCAAGAAGACTGTAGCTCTGATGGTTTCAATTCATTTTAGTCTAAAAGCTGCAATTGGAATTGTACAATGTACTTAATTTTTTTTAGTTTTATATTTTATATAATTATATACTTGAAATTTTATGAACTTATACAAAATTTTATTCAAGCCAGACCAGAAATTTGAAAGAATTCAACAAAACAACAACAAAAGTCAATATACAGTATAGAATGACATGTCTTGAAGAAGTCTGCTTGTGTATTGCATTTTAGATAAATTTGACAAAACTGGAAAGTGGTGGAGGGGGGGAGGGGGGGGGGGAGGAGTAACAATCTAAAAGAATTACACTTGAACTTTGGTATCTCGATCACGGATATCTCAAATACTATGGAAATATTGAAGTGATTTGGAAGTCCAAACCACTTATTCCTTTAGTATTTTACCCTGGATATCCTGAATCCATGGTTATCTCTAAGTATTTTCTCTGTCCCATCAAGTTCAAGATAACAAGGTTTGACTGCTACAGTATATGCATTATTGTAAATAGAGCAAGGTGACATAACTCAATGCAATGAAAAAAAAACTGACAAACAAAATAATATACTGTGACATCACCTGTTGACCAGGTTTTGTTGAAATCAGACCAAAACTGTAGGAGGAGATCCGAGGAGTAGCATTTTGAATTGTTTGCAGACAGACAAACAGGACACCTACTAATGCATAAACTCTTCTAGTTTCTGAACTTTACAGCTCAAAAAATATGGAAATAGACTGTTTGAGTGACTCAGGTACAATGTAACTTGAAATATACCTTGCTTATTATAACTTTGTCACATTTAAGTACGTTAAGGCAGTACACAGATCATATTTCGGCGAATTTAGACTTTTTTTTGTAAAATATAACATTGATAAATCGGAAAAGCCATAGATAAAACATTTACTATTATTATCCATTGTATAGACCTCATTGAGTTTTAGGCTAAAAGAAGCACTCCACTACGACGTCATCACGTGACGTCTATAAATAGAAAAATTGCCTTAATGAAAAAGTGAAAAGTTCAACACTACCCCGGGTATAATTCATTTCTTTTTGTGAAAATAATTATGTAAAAACATCACTGGACCATGAAAAGTGCTGCTAGAATCCTACTCTCCAAACACAGAAAAAAATATTCCAAAGTTTCGCCTGAAACCTTACCAAAATTTTTACATTTTATACATACGATCAAGGAATTGTCATCGATTTATGTTAACCACATGATTCTAGCAGCACTTTCAAAGTACTATAGAATACAAGCTTTCGATGCAAACAAAAATTATGTTTCACAGTATGCGGCGTAGTGTTGAACTTTTGCATCTTTGTTGTTACAGAGCGACAGAGGAAAGGCTGGTCAGGATTTCAAAGCACTGCCTGTGTTCATTACAAGAAAACATGATAAGAATATATCAGCGTACCTGATTCATAATCTTTAATTCCTTATGAATCACACATAACATCCACGGTATATGCTTTAAAACTCCCATTTCATATATTTGTTTACATGAGTTCTCGTCAAGTTTCATTTTTACTTGGCAAATATTTGATCAATAGTTATGACGTCATGGGTTTGGTATTTAACCCCCGTGATAAATACTTAGCTATTTATACCACCCAAAAATGACAAGATTTAGTTTATATTATGTTTTTGAATGAGTCCATTCATTTCTTGGACCTGAAATTAAACTTTAAATATAGCTATTAAGAAATCATTATTTGTAAAGGTCACGTCATACAGGTTACTATGACGTCATATTGTAAAGGCAAGTAGAATATCTCTGGGTGTAGCCTTAACATACCCGCGTACCTGGAGCAAAACACAAAAAATGAGTATAAACCTGTCTGTGAACTTTTACAAGTGATATTACAGTAGTTTAGATAAGAAAGTACATTACTGACTTTTCTGTCTCATAAGGACAGTTGGCATTCCAAGTACTGAGATTTGTGTCATACTCTACAGATAAAATCCGAACAAAGGGAACATCCTTGGACAGCCAATCCTTTAAAGAAATAAAATAAAAATTACATTTATCTGCAATTCATAGATCAAGTATTGTTATCAAAAGCACTTTGAATTGCTTCAGTTAATCTTTCTTTTTTTTACATAAAATGTTCAAACATGTTTTTAATAGATTTTTGAAATGACAGCCCTGAAAATGTCTTAATTGCTAGTTGTATAAAATTGTATTTGTGAGTGAAAGTCAGGCTGTAGAGTTGGCAGGGAGACCCTTGTACATGAAAACCATGATAGATTTTTTATAGATTTTTCAGCCCTACCTTTGGCCAGCAGAAGGTGTATGTTCCTTTGCGAACACTTGCCACCCCTTCTGCTACATTGTCTTTGTCTGGCATCTTTCTGTCCTGTTGTCTCCAGGTTTTAAATGGTCCACCAAGTAATCCATGGACAAAAACCACATCAGCCATCACTGGGTCTCTACAAAAGTGTCTTACATGTAGTGCAAATAATTAAACATAAAGCAGTAAAGATACTCCTGCAAAACATTTTTCAATTTCAAGGTCAATGTTGTGATCAGGTCTGAAAGTGGTAGTTAAAATATTCCTTTTTCACTCAACTGAACATGAAATTATCTGATTGCTGGCCACCCAAAACATATCAAAACATGGACAAGAATTTAACAAGATCAATTTTAAATTATAAATGGAGGTTAATGATAAATGTGACACTGAATCATATTTTTCATTTAGCATCACAAGAATCAGGTCTACAGAAAGGTTTTTACTTAGATCTCTTTGTTGGGTGTACAAGGTAGACACCACTGGGATACAGAAAGGTCCCATCATCTCTGTCTAAATTAACCAGAGCTCTAGAGGCATGTAATGATAGCTGCAGGTCTGAGGACTTGGACCATTTATACAATAGGGATACCCAACCTGAAAATATAGCAGTCACATTTATATGTTTATACCAGTGATACCAAATAACACAGAAAGGATATCCCATCTTAAGGGTACTCTATAGGTGTAAAATTATTCTTCTAAACAAGAGGCCCATAGGCCACAATGCTCACCTGAGTCACTTTGGCCCTGCTGTTCTTAATCAAATTTTCCCCTTGTAATATTTTGAACCTCAAGGGACATGATTCAATCAATTTAAAATCTAAACAACCTTATGAAGTTTTCACATAAATTTCATCTTTTCTATCCCAGCGGTTCTCGAAAAGAAGATTTATAAAGATTTTTCCTATGTATATTTCAATGTAAAACTTTGATTCCCTATTGTGGCCCCATCCTACCCCGGGGACCATGATTTAAACAATTTAGAATCTACACTACCTCAGGAAGCTTCCACCTAAGTTTCACCTTTTCTGGCCCAAGGGTTCTTGAGAATATGATTTTTAAAAGATTTTTCCTATACCTTTCAATGTAAAACTTTGATTTTCTATTGTGGCCCCAAACTACCCTTGAGGACCAATTTGAACAATTTACAATCTAAACTACCCTAGGAAGCTCTCACACAAGTTTCACCTTTTAAGGTCCAGCGATTCTTAAGAAGATTTTTTAATGACCCCACCCTGTTTTTGTGTTTTCTTGATTATCTCCCCTTGGAAGGGGCTTGGCCCTTCATTTTAATAATTTAAACTCCCCTTCACCCAAGGATGCTTTGTACTAACTTTGGTTAAAATTGGTCCAACTGTTCTTGAGAAGAAGTTGAAAATGTGAAAAGTTTACAGACGGACAGACAGACAGCGGACGACAGACAACAGGTGATCAGAAAAAAATTCAGCTCAGGTGAGCTAAAAAGCATATGCAAGTTTGTACTCTGACAGCTACTTCAAGAATGAAGGTAATTTTTAGATACAAAGTACAATACCTCTATTCCCGAAAAAAAAATGAATACACAATTTAAGAACAGTTAAACTTTGGTATCTCATACACCCATATCTTGAATACCATGGATATGTTGAAGTGAGTTGGAAGGCCCAACTACTTTTTCTATATGTATTGCAACCTCTACATCTCAAATCCTCAGATATCTTGAGGTTTTTTCTCGATCCCATCAAGTTTGAGATAACAAGGTTTGAACTGTAATCAGTAATGTGACTTTATATGTCCTGTTGTATAACTGGGCATCTGTACCTTCATTGCTAAAGAATATTACAACTATGCTTACTCAGGTAGGGCTCTAAGAATCTTAATGAAATTTTATACACGAATGTACATAACTTATCAATGCTAATTATCACCTGTACTTCTTTTTTTAAATTGCTGCATCCAATGATTCTCACTGATAAATTTATGGACCAGACCCCCCCCCCCCCCCCCCCCCCCCCCCCCCCCCCGATTATAATCAATTTCTGTGCCAAGTATGAGCTTCCAATGTTTCTCAGTTACAAAGATATCGTCTAGACATAATTGTATAGATAGACAGTCTGTCTGTCAATGTCTGAGCCATAACTTCCTAATTGAGACAGAGACTTACAGACATTTTAGGTGATTCCTATAAACCTTTTCAAATTATGTTTGCCAGGGGTTAAAAAAATTAACTGCAAATAATACTGGTTTTAAGTAAGCCCTTTCAGTGATCTCTACAGAAGAATAATTGCACAATCTCCAACAGTAACCATGTTCCCCTGAGATTCTCTTACCCCCTTTAATGATTTCTGGATGTAGTTCTTCATGTACAGACAAATTCCCCAGAATTCTAGCAATCTGTCTCCTCATCACTATGCTGTATTTTCTCTTGTGGTAAGTCTGTTGTAGAAGTGGTAGTACTCCCATTTTCATCATCTCAAAGCAATGATGTGGCTCCTTCAAAAGAAAAACACAAGTCAATCATTTTAATAGGAAGTTTAATACATGTATATGCCATTTATGCTCACTGCTACACATATGGGAAATAAATTATGTATATAAAAAAGCAGATGAAATACTCCTAACGTGAATTTCAAAACGAACCTCAAGGTTTGTGTTGATCTTACTGCTGAACCTTTTGTACAGTAAAACTCGCTTATAACGAAGTCACTGGGACCTGTGAGATTACTGTACAGCAGGTTAAAATCTAGGTCGGAAAAGATCGTGATTTGTTCAACTTGCAGCAAATCGCGGTCGTTTGAATTCGCGGAAATGAAAAATTATACAAAAACTTTTTCCGCACTGCAAGTATTTTCCTTGCATATTGTGTCGATTCTGAACCCGATTAAATAGATTGAAACACCGTACTGATCCCGATTGGAAGACAAAATGTTGTACGATTTACACTGTTATGCATTCATATAAATTTTCTTCTTTCTTTCTCTTGTTTTCTTTCTTTCTTTTTGTTAAATATTTTTGAAATACATATGAGTCTATACGCGAGTGTTTTATTTAAGTGATTTCCAGTCGTATCCCAAACAATGGGAAACGTATATAAAAAAAAAAAGAAGAAGAAGCTCTTTGGCAGGTGATCGTTCATTAATAGGTATGTTTTGAGTAGAGTACTGAGTAGTACTTACTGCAGGTCTTTTTAATCCCTCTGAATCTAAATCAGTTGTCAGTACTGATCGTCAGAATGTTGAACTGTTAATAAAATTGAATTAATGTGTAACAGTGTTGTCTTTACTACGTAAGTGCCTTCATTAAAGATAATAAGACTGAGTGATATGCACGGGTGAATTCTAACAATACATGTTTTATAGATAATTACATGGCGCCTCTACTGGGTGGCAGAATTAAATGTTAGTTTTAGATGTTTATTTATCAATTAAGCTTTTAAAAAACAACAACTACTTGTTAGTGATTGATCCGTACACCCTCATAATAAGGAAGACAGTCTACATTTCTGCTATATTAATTACTGCTTTTTATGTTTACAAGGAAACGTAAATAGAGTTACCGAATCTAATCACAAATATCGGTAATATTTCAATTTATCCTTATCAATTTTTGAAGAATTATTCACTGTATGTTGAATTCGCGGAATTTTTATTTCTGCGAATATAGCGAATATTATCTCCGCGAGTTAATTTCCTGCTGTACAGTACTTTGCTATATCCATAATTCGTTAGATCCGTGTAAGAAATTTGTTAAATTTATATCGCTGGGGATCCAAGAAAATTTCACTATATCCATGAATTCGCAATATCCGTGTTCATACTAAACAAGTTTTACTGTACATGTACTTCTTAATTCATCCAGCAATAGAGCAGAAAAGCATGTTTTATTTAAAAAAAAATTCAGAAGAATATCTCAAACCCTGAGAACAAAGTTTTCAGTTAATTGAAAAAGTAATGGGGAAAGATCAATAAATGTATGTGGAAATCCAAACAGATGAATTCAAAACCCAAGAGTGTCTAGTCACAAACTTGACTTTCTTTAAATTTTTATCCTATTTTTTCCCCTATGCAGGGGGCTACACTACGGCATGGAAGCCATGGAGCTGTTAAATGTCCCTCTAAGGCCAAATAAAAAAATATGTGTGGTTCCGGTTACCCGACCGTCCCTATTTTATACCCCCCAACCCTAAACTTTTTTTGACAATTTTCATATTTTTTCTGAAGTTTTCCCCAATTTCCATCAATGGCTCCAGTTTAAGTTTTAGTTTCAGCAATGACGGCCTCCTTGCACAACATAGTGCAAGTGTTTATTAGTGTTAAATCCAAAGCAAGCTAGCATGTAGGCGTCCCCTACCAATACTGACTAGTATTTTATCACACCACATCTAAATGTCATTTGCAAAGTAGTGATAAGTATTATTTAGAATAATTAAGAAAATCATTTTGTTAAAAAAAAAAAAAAAAAAAAAAAAATCCCTACCTACCTACCCTAATTTTTTTGGAGGTGTAACCGGAACCACACATATTTTTTTGTTTGGCCTAATCTTGGACATCATCACTCCTCACCTCTGTTTCTTCTATAAACTATATGTTGAACATTAAGTACATACATTTTTTTATCAATATAAACTTGATGCCTAGAGACACCTTTGAGAAGACTCTTACTTACATTTGAATGACTGATCAGAGCTTGTAGGCAGATAATTTCCACCCTCTCTTCTGGCCCTCTGCTAACTGTTTTAGCAAAATCAACCCCAGGTCCTCCAAAACTCCAGTATCCTCCCTAAATACATGTACCGGTATATTCATGAATGATAATATTAATGTATATAGATATACTTTGGATTATAAAAAAACTTTCATGATACTTGCCTGGAAAACACAAAATTGTTCACCGATATCTATGTAAACATATGGAACATTCACAGATAAAAAGGAGTCCAATTTATTTCACATGTGGAATGATATGGCACTTCATTAATGTGTGTTTTCATAACTACCAATAATCTGCCTTAGTTACTACTATGTTGGTATGCTGAGTGCAAGAAATTAACAAAAGTTTCCCACACACTCTTTTAAAATCAATTCATCCCCATTGTATAGGACATGCACACATCTTGAATACTGTGGAATCATTGTAATTCATGGGGGTGTAATTTCGTGGGTTACATGTATATGGTAGATTCAATAAATAGAACAGATCTACAAATGCATTCCTGGCACTATATATGCCTTACTCGCTCTTCTTCTATATTCCCCTCAATCAGGGCCTGTGTTGTAAAATACTCCAAACATTTGCTGAAGCCATCTTTTGGCAACGAGGACAATAAAACTTTCAACCCAGACTCCAGATCTCCCTGAAAAAAAAATGATATTATCAGCAAGATTTGATAAAGAACAATATATGGTGTATTATACTATGCATGAAAAATGCAAGTTACAGATGAAACTAATTACTAAACTATCATTTCAAAATTTAAATAAAGAGCAATTTTAACCCTTACTGCTATTTTTTTTTTTTTAACAATGTTCAAATTTTCTCATTTCTGTTACAAATGAACGAACAGGTGATTATTATAAAGCACACTTATCTTGATGAAGGGCCCAAAAAATTAAACCAAATCATACCAAAGCAGATGAAAATCTGAACAAACAAGTAAATTAAAAGAATTGTAGTCCCCTGTTTTTGGTGTTTTAGTGGTTGGGACACATTTATGGCATATTGTAACTGTCTTGTCCATGTGCCCTGTCTTGTCTGTCCATCAAACAAAAAATTAAAATTTTTGAATTAATAAAAGTTACATTATGGTCAAGATTTAAGTTTTTTAAAACTGCATCAAACTTCTAGGTCAAGATCAAGAAGTCAAAAATCATACAATGTAGATCTTTCTGAAAGGTGTCACAGGTAATGTACATGTAAAATATGAAAGCACTATCGTCTCTCATTCAAAAATTATTTCCAATGTTAAAAATTTTGAAAATTCCTGTAAGTCAAATTCTAAGGTTAAGGTCAAAAAGTCAAAAATCATAAAGTTTGGAAAGGTCTTGTAAAAGGTAATGCACAAGTCAAATATGAATGTCCTATCTTCTCTCGTTAAAAAGTTATCACTAATGTTAATTTCTTTGAAAAGTAGGTCAAACTTCAAAGTCAAGGGGCCAAAGACTATTTAAGAAATAAGATATGATTTTTAGAGTTTCATTGGGATATGACATGAAGACGGTCACGTGATCAAATTCTATAACGCCCGAAGGGCATTATAGTAGATTTGATCAGGTACCGACTTCATGTCATATCCCAGTGAAACTCTATAAAATGATATTTTATTTCTTATATTTATATTTTACTTTTATTCATGTTACAAGGAAAAATAGGCACTATTTTGACTTTGTTATGGAAATGCAACATAAAGTACCTATGACGTCTTGTGACGTTACAATCGGAACTTTCCAAATGGCTCGTGCAGTTTGCTCTCAATACACAAGAAAGTCTGACTATGTGACCATATGCATGTCATTGAAAATTGAAAGTCAATTTATTTAGTATTGTCATACAAGGAAAGACATCGGCAAATGTAAATATAGTAAATTTAGAAAGGCCTTGTCACAGGTAATGCACATGTCAAATAAGAATGCCATAACTTCTCTCATTCAAAAGTTATCATCATCGTTTGTTTTTTTTGTAGAGCAGGTCAAACTTCAAGGTCAAAGTCACAAGGTCAAAAATCAAAGTACATTTGGAAAGGCTGCCACAGGTATTACACATGTCAAACATGAATCCCTCATCTTCTCTTATTCAAAAGTAACCATTAATGTTATAATTTTTAAAAAGTAAGTTATATTTAAAGGTCAAGGTCACAGGGTCAAAAATCATAGTTTACTTAGAAAGATCTTGTTACAGATAATGTAAATGTGAAATATGATGCCCCATCTTTTCTTATTCAAAAGGTATGACCAAGGTTAAAGTTTTTTGTGACAGACAGACAGACAGTGGGACTGACTGACAGATGATTGAGATTAATTTTCCCTCACTTTCGCAACAAAAAGGGGAAAATGAACGGCTAGATGGATGAACAAACACACAGCAGGATAAGGAGTTAGACCAATCAATATCAAAGACAGACAGATACACAGATTGTTCCTGTAGAGCACTGTACCTCTAATTTGTCTGGGGTAGGAAATGGAGTAAAAAATCGCCCATCTACATCTTCTGTCCTAGCTAATCCAACTAATGTTCTGGAATCACAAGCTTTCCTGACCCATTCATATTTCTCATCTAGTAGATAATAAAGAAACAAAAATCTCACTTAACTTAGTATATGTACATGTATTGCATAATCACATTACCTATTGTTAATCAGAAGGTATATCTATCTCAAATTGTACATTTCACATATCTAAAAAACATACAAACTTAAATAAAATACTGTAAACCACTTTTTATTTGCGTGCCAGTAATATTCGTGAGTTTCGCAATCTACTTTAACTCGTGAATATTAATCACCACGAACCATTTATTTTGCTTTGTATTTGTAGAGAATGTTTCCTCTGTCACAAAAATTAATCGTCGCGGATTGATTTCAAACTGACGAATCACGAATAAAAGATGATGCAAATAATAGTTGGTTTACAGTAAACAAAAGACATTGAGCAGCAATGTTCATTAGAGTCATCTCCTGCTTACTGAAAATTAAAATCTTGTTATTATGACCTTTCTTTTTTAATAAATTATATTGCATTATATGAAGTATCTCTTTAATTTTATCCTGCTAGATTGATTTCAAAATGGATATGTAAATGACTTTAATCTATTTCAATATTCCTTAATTATAGTATTTCCACTGGGAGGAAAAAAAAATCACTTAACTTCATGATGCTTTCTTGAAGCTTGTTGTGTTGAATTTTTTTTCAGTAATTATTGGAAAAATATACAAAAAGCTTATTATAAACAAATGACATGAAAGAAAAAATATTCATCACAAAATGTAACTTATTTAAGTAAGGCTAGCTAGATTAGCAAAACAAAATGACCAAAAAAAAAATAAATAAATAAATAAAAACCAAACAAACAAACAAAAAAAAAACAAAAAAAAAGCAATACAACACCTTCCATACCCCCCCCCCTCCTAAAAAAATGTCAGTGAATGAATACAATAGTGTTTTTTAGTTAATACTTATTAAACTGGCTTTGATCTTCACCTGGCCAATGATGGATAGTCCCCAAAGTTTGAACTGCCTTCTTTCTCTTTGCAGGGTCTGCTGATTGGGTCAGCAAAACCAGCATGTGTGGATCATTAAAATGAAGGAGTCCTATTAGAGATACTGGTATATGTGCTCCAACCTGATTTCCTACAAAATGAATAAAATGATGCTTTTACTTTCCATTTTTATAATAGTCAGTTCTACAAATAAATATTTATGCATACAGTTTTCATGTACATTTAACATACATGCAAAACAATAGAAGAAATACAGATTTGATATAGTTACCTAACTTGTCTTTCAAATTGAAGATTCTTTTTGGTTTCTGGTGATCTGTTAGAATTATGAAATCACAATTGAATATGCTGTATATCTGCACTTAAACAAAAAGTTCTTGTATGTTATTTGCAAATAGAGTACACATTTTCAGATGTGCCTTTATTCTGCAATACATGACATTGTATCTTACACAAATAACACAAAAATCCTCAAGAAAATTTTGTTTGCTTCTCGGAATACCTTACAATTCAGTTAATTAACAATGTTTGTGCTGAATGTTAAAAGTGTGACCTCTTTGAACATCCAGTTAACAGAGCATATAGTTATTATGTAAACTAATTCACACACTGATAATCAGGACTGACAAGTGCTGGTGACTGTTTAGTTTCACAATTCTCTAACTCTTTAACATATCCAGAATAAAATGTATGGATAACAAGTCGAGACAGACTTCAACACATAAACTTGGAGAGATTAAGATTATATTTCTGAGATTTATAGCAGGTAACACTGGGAAATGTGGCTTACTTCATGAGACCACTGAGAGGCATCTTACACTGGGCATCGTATAATACATGCAAATAAATGGCAAATACAATGTATATCAATTTTCACTAAGATTCTAAAAGTGAATTACACTAAATTTATTTTACTGTTGTTTCCATTGCTCCTCAGAAATACTTTCATGTGTATTTGCCTAAAAATATGTTCAATGATGTCTACCTTTAATTTGAAGTTCAGCAATATCCTCTGGATTTTTGTACTGTTTGTATCTATCTCTGTCTAATGCTGTTGACTGTGTCACAGTTCGAAAGTTTGTATCATGTAAGATACTGTATCTCACGACATAAAACCTGTTAGAAAATTAAAATTTTGATCATTTTTTTATTCTTTTATAAATACTGCATGTAGCATTTATTGTGGGTAACACTGAAAATTTTCACCCCAAGAAAACCATTGTCAACCGAGGCACAGCTGAGGTCAATGGTTTTTGAGGGATGAAAATTTTCAATTTTACCCTCAACTACATGTAGTATTTATTATATTATAATGAATGTTTTATACAGATTCAAATAACAGTGAACCATGCATGCATACACGTAGATTCTGCACAGTCAACTTTTTTTGGAATATCACACATCATCAAGTAATGTTGACCATGTCAACATTCTATTGTGCTGGAGGGTGTGGTTTCATTATTCAGAGGGTAACAATGTCTTTAAACAAATTTTTCTTGAAGAATCAAATTCAACTCATTTACATGAAAATATAATATATTGTATGCTACATGAATTGTCTTCATTTACAGGTACTAAAACACAAACAAAGATTCAGATTTGACACACTTGACATTCTTTTCAAAATGTCAATCTTTTTCAAATCATGAAAGTTTCTAGACACATCACTAGTCAATAAAGTAATTATTATGCCCTACCCTGCAGTTGTAATTGCTATGGATAGGCAACCTGTAACATAAAAAACAAAACTTTACAACTACTGATATTAACACTAGTATATATAATACAGCGTGCATTTTCCATTCATTTTTATTTTGCAATTAAAAAATATCAGCTAAAATTCAAAATTGGACACAACACATAAGTAATCATGATTTTGCTCCTAACTGAAATGAATATCATGAATTTTCTTCAATATATGAAGGTTTTTCACAATGAACTTGCACCCTGTGCATTTCTTGTTCAATAATGCAAGTGAAATTAGATATTATTTAGATTAATTGTCCTAAAAAGTAGCAATTTAAATGACATGTATGCATGCTCTCAGTCTCTAACTAAATATTGTTATATGGTAATAGAAAAGTAAACTTATGGCTGGACTGGGAATCGAACCCTAAACCCATGCATTATTAGTTATGTGCTCTAACCACTGAACTATTCAAGCCAATTTCCCTGTATATATAGCCCAAACCACTACATTCCTCCCTCCTTAAATTGTCTTTTCTCTTGATGACACACAACCCAGATTCTTTAGCCCTTGGCATGACTTTCATCTGCAAGATGATAGGTGGTCAGTGGCACCAAATGTAGCAGGAAAGTAGAAAAATTATGGATGGACAAGGGATTTGAACCTGGGACCCCTGCAGTACTAATCAGGTGCTCTAACCACTGATCTAACCAGGATGATATATGGCCCAAACCACTACATGGTATTTATTCAAAAAGAAAAGAATAAAATAATATGCTAGAAAAAGTAAATGTCACAATTAACATCCAAACATGGTTTCATATATTTTAACAATACAATTTTTCGCTATGTAAATACAGGTAAACTTCGTTATCTCGACATCAACGGGACCATCAGAAAATGTCGAGATATCCGAGGTGTCAAGATATCAGAGTTGAGACTTGACGTCCAAGATTTCATTGCATAGCAAAACAGACAAGCTTATTATATGTACATGACTTTAATATAGACTGTAGCTCAACATATTTCAGAATTTCCTCTATTTTTATTAAAAATCTAAGAAGTTATTTTAAAAATCTTGTTTATTAAACGTGTTCTTTATCAAAATCTTTCTAAATTCACACAGTTTCAGCACAAAGTTACAGCATTGATCTGCATTCGCGTATAACTTGCCTTTTCGTCAGAACAGGATACAAAATGCGCTCTATAAACTTTGAACCGTATAAAATCGACATCCGATATACGGTAAAAAAAATTAAATGCGGATTATTTTTTTCTTATTTCATTCAGGAAGAATGTACATTAAAATTAATTTTTTTAAAGAGATTTGTGTATCTAAACTAACGTAGTGATGTTACAGATGCACGAATTACGGCTGATTCGGTCAATCGTGTCATTAATTGGATTGTTTCCTGTTGAATACATTTAAACTACAAAATATCATTAAAATTTTTTTTTTTTTAATTCCTTAGTTTGAATTTTTCAGTGTGTTTGTTATTCATTGTAATTAGATTTAGCAATGATATTACCCAAGCTCAATTAACTTCTCAGAGACGCCGAAGGGGCTTGGGATTCACCTACAAACACAGTCTATAAAATTAATTAAGCAGCCTGCAGTCAAAACATGGGTGTGAAAGAAACTTTGACGACGTCAAGATACCCAGAGTCGTCCGTGTGTGACGAGCGACCCTATCTGACAAACAGTTAGGTTCAGTGGAGCAGAAAATTGCTGATGTCGACATATGCCAGGTAAATTTTGCTCTTGGGACTGTGAATATACGTCGAGATAACCTGGGTTGTCGACATTACCGAGGTTGACATAGAGTTTTTGCAAATCATTTATATAGTAAATACTGCCGGGACTGTGGAAGGATGTCGACATATCCCAGGTTGTCGACATATCTGATGTCGAGATACCGAAGTTTACCTGTAACTAACTTAAATGTCATAACTATATTCCATAACATTTTATTTGTTCAGTAGAATTTACTTGGCGGGTTTAAATCCCATGCCGTTTTGTAGTCAGTTTGGGTGTAGCAATTGAGTAGAGCAGACGGACTTGACTTGCTCGAGTATTTACAGTAGTAGATAAAGTAATTGACCAGACTTTCACATCTCTTCTGAGGTAAGTTTGTTTTATTGATTTAAAGGTTTTTATCTTATACAGTTTCCTGAAATGGCCAAGGACCTTAGTTCTTAATTTTGATGTAAATTATTTGATTGAGTAATGTGTGCATTGCTATCATTTAAAGTATTATTCTAATAGTACATGTATTATTATATTAAAGTATGTAGTAGCTACAATGTATGGTGTAAAGTACATGTGTATAGTACGCAAATATTTCATATATTGTGTGAAGTATGCAGTAAAATGCAGTATGCAGTAAAATGCTATAGTGTTTGCAGTAAAATGCAGTATGCAGTAAAATGCTATCAAGAGTATTTGCAGTAAAATGCAGTATGCAGTAATATGCTAGAGTATTTGCAGTAAAATGCAGTATGCAGAAAATGTAAAGTATACAATAAATGTTATGATATGCACGAGCATGAATCCAGTTAGTATATTTTAAATACAATTGTTATAATGTATATAATTTACAATAATTTTGTAGATCCCATTTGGTCCAGGAAGTCATTCAATCCAAACAGCGAACCATCTTGAAATTTTAAATTTGTACAAAGCCAATAAAATGTGATCAATAATTCAAAGAACTTAGTCCTTGTTTTCCTATTTTGTGGCGACCACTCGGCCTGCCTGCGACAGTAAAGGTGGTATAAAAATGCAAATTAATTGACTTCTAAGCTTTCGTGTCATTCATCTGACATCACAATTTAGGCTAAATGTATGAAAATCCGAATTTAAGGTACTGGGCTTGTTCATCTCTGTTCAAATGTTTAGGTCACTGTAAGTAGAAAGGCATTTGTATTTATTATCTTATGCTTCAATAGACATTTCTGCGCTCACTCCAACGGTCACGCCGTTAAACATATCATTAGTGTGCATTTCAATAAATACAGATACCCATATTACTAATGTTTTAAGTCAAGAGTACCAATAGAATACAGTTTTCTTCTGTTTGAAGGAGCCTGTGAAATAAATCTCAGTCCTCTAGATTGTTCTGAAATGAAACATATTTTTCTAAAAAGTCCAATCATTTCTTCATTGTCCCATGTCAAACCTGAGAACGAACAGAATAGTTGCAATCGTTAGTACGACTTTCGTAGAACTCACTAGAACTGTAGAAGCAGACAAATTTTTGAATTCAATGTCATTCTACATCTCCTTCTCTTACTCTCTGTTTTTGTTTTATAAAACTTACAACTGACAAGGATTTTGATGATAATTTTTGTTCTTCGATCCCGACATTATTTTTACTGAATGAAATAAATGAAATAAAATAATTTTGAACAGAATGTATGCCTGTATGTGTTTTTAAATAGTCACTTAATTTTTAAATTATTTTTTAACAAGAAGAATAAGCATAGCACCTAAACACGCAAATGCCAGTATTCACATTATATACGTACATTGGTGAGTTAGGTAGGAAGAGAATGATTTAATCAATATTTGTGTTGTCAAATGTATGGGTAAGGTACTAAGCTGTAGTTTTTTGCTAGTTCTTCTAAATATACAGCAAATTTAATTTTCAAGTGTAATTAAAATAGTGAATGATGCGAAGAAATGTGGATATATCAAATTATTATATACTTTATGATATGAAAGAAAATTTCCATATTTTTTCCACAAATCTATTTAACAAACAAATAAAGAAATAAACAAACAAACAAATAAATAAACAAACAAATAAAGAAAGAAATATTAGAAGTAATGAGCTAAATGTGACTCCGACCCCATTTAAAAGTATTGAATGTTTGTGCTAAACTTGTTTGCTTGTAGCTATTTGTAATTGCAGAAAAGAAGATTTTTAACTAATTGTGGCAAATCTGAATTTCAGAAATCATAAGAGTATTTAATTTTAAATGTCATGAAAATGATTTCAAATATCAAGATTCAGTTACTAAAAAGGAGGCAAAATTAGCATTCTATCAAAAATATCCAAGTAGCGATTCAGAACACCCCATTTCCAGTACTTCTATAACCTTGGGGGTCTTCAAACATAGAAGACAATGCATGATACTGCAAAAAAGTGAGAATCTTAGATATCTTTATTATATAATATTCACTCCAAAAATCGACTACTGAAAAAAAAAAAAAGATGACAAAGAAATTACTATTGTATTTCGAAAAAAAGAAGAACTTTCAAGACTTTTTAGGGAATATATAGCTATAATTGTAATAAGCCACGCTAATGTTGGTATAATGTCCTATCATTGTCCAGAAATGAAATATCTCCTAGCGGCTGGACACCTTAGCGTTGTAGATTGCTGTTTGATTGATGACATGAGGGTCCACGGGGACCAACAAAATTGGAAATCACCACGTGTCGAGGCTGCGAAGAACATCACAACGCACAATGAGGTATAATTACGTTATTGCTTTCTTGAAAACGACTTTGTTTTGCCTATGACCTACGCTTAACCCCTAAAGAACGAACGTTTTTTAATCCTCTCCAAAAGCAATTTATGTATGGTATTCACACACAAGAACCAAGAGTTCCTGTCGTCATTAACAACTTAGAAAATCCAATTTACATAGAAGAAAAAATAAATTGTATGTCCAAATTAACCTGCCAAAAGTTGACTAATCTAATTCAGCATACCGTGAACATTGCACGTAATCGAATTTACCAAGAACTGCAAAGGTCTACGCGCATTAGCACGCTCTTTTACACCTCCTAGATAATTTTTTGTTTTGTTTCCTCTCTGATCGCGTTGTGTACTAATTCTTCAATAAATCAACTTATGGGATACCGTGTAATTGACATTTAACAGGCAAATGGTGCTAGTAGAAGCAGCACAGTGAGTGACAAATTGTATCGACGCTGTTTTTTCTTGACCATTTTGTGAGCTGTTTTGTCTTTTATTGGCCTATCACTGAACCCCGAGTCTAATAATATTAGCAATCTATAAAACCAATCAGTGCAATGAAAGATCGAAGCAGAAACCTAGCGATGCTCTATGCCGCACGATACTTTTTTGTCTGTGATAAAAATTACAGGAAATTAATTAGGAGATGTTCGGTCAAGCGAAAACTATCAAATGATATTAATACGTACTCAATTAATTACAATAGTATGATGAAGACGTCCCTGCCACCTCGAAGGACGGAAAGCCATTCATCACAGCGTTCTTTGAAGCCTTTTATCCATGTTTTGGTACAGATTCTGTTCCTATTAGATAGTATACCGATGAAGGAATTGCCCCTCAAAAATAAACAAAAAACAAAACAAAACAAACAAACTTTTTTTTTTTACTTTGAACCATCATACTGGTCTTTCTATATCCGAATCACTAAAAAGATAGGCTCTATTTCTTTAAACCATCATACTAGTTTTTCTGTATCACTATACCGATAGGTTCCGTTTCTTTGAACCGTCATACTGGAGAAGGGTGACTTTTTGGTTGAAATGCTTACACAAATAGATATTTACAGGACACCATACCATATTTCAAAATACACATGTATGATTTGGCGTGTGGTCGAAATATAATAGTTTGAGGAAGAAGATTCTGTATATATAGATATATCAGATGTATTTCGTCTATTTCCTTCGCTAAGTTTATAATTTTTTATGCCCCCGGATCGAAAGATCCCGGGGGTATATTGTTTTTGTCCTGTCTGTCTGTTTGTCTGTTTGTCCGTTTGTCTGTTTGTCTGTCTGTCTGTTGTCAACTTTAACCTTGCCCATAACTTTAGATTGGTTGGAGCTATAACTTTCATATTTCACATGTGTATTCCTTGTGACAAGACCTTTCTTTGGGTACCATCATATTTGACCTTTTGACCTTGACCTTGGAGTTTGACCCACTTTTGCAAAATTTTATGAGACTTTAACCTTGGCCATAACTTCTGAACAGTTGGTGCTTGGGGTTTCAAACTTCACATGTGTATTCTTTGTGACAAGGCCTTCCTTTGGATACCAACAACTTTGACCTTTTGACCTTGACCTTGAACTTTGACCTACTTTTGAAAAACTTCAACCTTGGCCATAACTTTTGAACAGTTGGTGCTTAGGGTTTCAAACTTCACATGTTTATTCCTTGTGACAAGACCTTCCTCTGGATATCAACCACTTTGACCCTTTGACCTTGACCTAGGAGTTTGACCTACTTCTAAAAACTTTAACCTTGGCCATAACTTTCGAAAGGTTGGTGCTAGGGCTTTCATACTTCACATATGTAATCCTTGTGACAAGACCTTCCTTTGAATACCAACCACTTTGACCTTTTGACCTTGACCTAGGAGTTTGACCTACTTTTGAAAAACTTTAACCTTGGCCATAACTTTTGAATGGTTGATGCTAGGGCTTTCATACTTCACATATGTAATCCTTGTGACAAGATCTTCCTTTGGATACCAACCAAATTGACCCTTTGACCTTGACCTAGGAGTTTGACCTACTTTTGTAAAACTTTAACCTTGGCCATAACTTTTGAATGGTTGGTGCTAGGGCTTTCATAATTCACATATGTAATCCTTCTGACAAGATCTTCCTTTGGATACCAACCACTTTGACCTTGACCTTGACGTTTGACTTTTATTTAAAAAACTTTAACCTTCGCCATAACTTTTGAACAGTTGTATCTAGGTCTTTCAAATTTCACAGGTGTATTCCTCGAGACAAGATCTTTCTTTGGGTATCAACATTTTTTATCTTTTGGCCTGGATTTTGACTTGCATTGGAGAAACTTTAACCTTCGCCATAAGCTGCCACACGGGGGCATCAGTGTTTCACAAACACATCTTGTTATTACTGATAATTAAATTTTTGAATGTCAGGATTTATTAAGACTTGATAAAGTAACTGATACACTCAAATATGGCTCTAATAGAAAACTAAAAAGCTTAGTATGAAGAATTCTTGATTATTTCCAAATGTAGAGATGTTATAAATTAATTAAATTTTCAAGGAAATTTGTATCCCCTATCTTTCTGCAACTTTAAAATGAAACATGGCCCATATTCTTCATTTAACCCAACCTTCATGGATTTTTAGGTTGCATTTACTTGAATTTGTAGGGTCGGAGGAAGAAGATATTTTGTATTAAAACATCATTTTTACCACTTATTTGCTACTGCCCCCAAGGTTGAAAATTAAAAAAAAATTTAAAAAAAAAATTGTAGCACATCCACAGAACATCACGGCACCTATCAAATTCCACAAGGTGATTTGGCTTCTGTGTAATTTGTAAAAAAAAAGAGTTGGTTGAGGAAGAACATTTTGTAGAGAAAAAAGAACGTTTCTGACCCCCGATTTGCCCCCAGGGTGAAAATAAAATTTTTGAAAACATATTGCACAGATATTACAGAATACTATACATGTATCATTCCAAAATATGAATAAACTACAGCTTAAATGTAAGAATCGTTTTGTCTCTATGGTGAAAACGATCGAAATTTTGAAACTCTAATTTGGGTGTGAAGAGTCAGCACATCCGGTTGAACACCGCAACAAAAGCCAGCTATTGCTCTACGAGCAACGAACCCGACTAAAAATCAGAGCAATGCACAATAAATTACGAATGTAATCAGCATAGATACGTTGTATATACATGTACATGCCACATAATAACGTCAACTCCACTTCTTGCAACGTTCACATTGACGACACTCCAAGTGTGTGGGATAATAATAGTAATTCATAAATTTTTATTTAGACCATGATGAGTAAATACAGTGAAACCTGTCTTATCCGACATGCTGCGGGAAATAAAATCAATGTCGGATTAGGCAGTGTGTCGGATTATCCAGTGTTGAATATTTCTAAGCATTATCATTAGTGTCAGATGACTTCATACAAAAAAAATCATTTCTCAATAGGTTTAAAGTACACGTATATTTAATTGGCATAGTGTTTGCATAATTGTGTGTTTCTTTGTTGTATAAAATATACCCGATTAGCATTTCTTTGAGAAACAGCGTTTGTGACACAGAATTAGTAACTCTGTAGTAATATACGATGATTTTTTTTTTCATGGACAAAACAGATGGAACTGCCGATGGCTTCGCGATGTTGCAATTTAATTTTTACTTTAATTGACAGTGCAGTAGATAAAAGTAAATATTTCGTCTACCTTCTCTACACAGTGGT